GCGGCGGCGGCGAACCAGCAGCGCTGCAGGACAGCGGTGTCCGGTTACCCGCCCCGCAGCTTGGGCCGGCAGGAGCCGGTGATGCCACCTTACAGGCGGTATTGTCCTCAGCCCCGGGGGCTGTGGGCGGTGCTGGTACCGAGGAACTGATGTAGTCTTTAAAAAAAAAAAAATAATAATAATAAAAAATATATATATATAAATTATTGTAATAAAAACTGGCGAAGACGCCGGGCTGCGCTTCCCAGTGCGCAGGGTGCCCCGGGCTGGGACCCCATCATGGGGAGGGAGTACTAAGGGAAGTCGCATCAAACCTGGGGAGATGGGTGCGTTTCACCCTCGCTTGGGTTTAACCCTCGTGTGAGCTGCGTGTGCAGAGCCCTGCAGTCCCCCTGGGGCTCTGTGTCCCTGCTGGTCACTGTTAGCCGGAACAGTCCTGTAGTTCTCTCCCATCAGGGATCGGGAAAGACCCCAGGAAATCAATCCCGTGAGGATCGATTGCCTCCACAAAAAGATGGCTGCTTCGGGATCGAAGGTGCCTTCTCGTTTGCCCCACATAACCCCAAGGTTAACAAAGGATTTAGGCTGGCTAAAGAAGGAATTATGTTGCTTTGGGGGATGAAAAGAGGATTAAGGTTTTCTCCAGGGGAAGTTGTAAGGAGTTGTAAGAGAGAAAGACTGAGGTAGAAAGGGAAAGTGAAACAGGGAGGCTGTGTTTACTGTGGGCCTAAGGCCAGGGATTTTGAATGCGACAACTAAGCGAAACTTCTTTGCCATCGTAAGGTGTGAGATCAGAGAGGCTCTCTCAGTAGAAAGTTGATCTCTGGCAAGTAATTTTTAATTTACGATGAACAGTGTCACGGCTGAGTAACTCTTCATCAGGTGCAATTACTGCAAATAAAGCCTGTGGGCACTTTTGAGCCACTTGCTTGGGGACCTATGCATCCCTCCTTAAAATTCACTGTGCCGGCCTGGCAAACAGGTGGAGCTGTGCTCCACCGAGTGAGTGGCAGGCACATGGCTCCTTCAAGTGCAGTGTTTTGTATATTTAGCAGTGTGCAGGCTGTGGAAAGAAGGGCTGCTGGGAGGGGAAAACGATAGGAGGAACATGAGCTGATATGGCAGGGTTGTAACGGGTGGCTCTGATGAACTGTTAAAACATTGCAGATGAGAAAAAGTGTGTGTCATGAGGGGGTCAGTGAAAACCGATGAAGGTTAAGAAATTGAACACCATCACTGAGGCTGTGGCAACAGGGATAAACAGAGTCTGCGAGAGCCAGATCTGAAATGGACAGCCCCAGTCTGCTTCAAAACAAGAATATAAATAAATAGTTCTGGCAGAGGAACAGAGGCAGCATACTACAGTGCCTGTTACCCAGCAAGCTGCTGCTTTGAAGCTTATATCAGGAAGCGTCTGCTTCTCTGGTGTGAATGCCTCATTTTGTGCAAGGATAGCTTTTTATGCAGTGACTAGAGTTAAGTCAGCTTCCTAGAGAGGCAGTTTGGGATGTTTGCAGATCTTCTTATAGGTTTGCTGCGTTGGTACTTGTTTCTGATTCCTTGCACTGTCTTCATTTTCTGTGGTTGCTTTCTCCTTTTGAAAAGATATCAGAAAATGTGATGCTTGAATTCAAATATAGAAATTGGTTAGAGCAAAGATGAGAGTGGGAGCAGCATTATCTGTCTGTGGGGTCTTGGTACTCACATAGCCTGTTGCCTTGGCTGGGCTTACCCATACACTTTGGCCATTGCAAGTTCACCAGACAAGTGTCTTGTATGAAGTTGTTAGTTTAATTTTTTTAAATTTAAGTAAGTCCACAGGAACAGCATCATTTGCTGAAATAGGTGGAGGGAGTGGCAGCCAGTATGATCAGCAGTGTTGATGGATTTCCACATGAGGAAAAAACTAAACCTACCAGGGTAATGCAGTATGGAGAAGAAGCAGCTGTGGAGGATATACTAAAAGTCCATAAAATGAGGAGTGGAATGGAAAAGGTGAAACTGAGTAGTGGCTGTTGATTGTCTCTCATAAAACAAGAAAAAGCATTGAATGTATTTACTAGGCAAAGGTTGTAGTTTTTATGCAACACATTATTTGTATTATTGCTGTGGGATATTGGAGAGGTTAAAGGTGTGAAGAGCTAAAAAAATTGCAAGGCAAGTTCTTGCCTTCTGTCTATTTTGCAGTATTTTGATGTCTTTTCTGAAACGTAACTCTTCTTTCTGAAGTTCCTTTGAAGGAGATGTTTTTCCTTTTTAAAACTGTAGGGCAGTGGTTCTGGTGGTGGTGTCTGTGTGGAATTGGTTGTGGGATACTCTTGTTTCCCCCCTCCCTTTGGGAACTAGTTAGTACATTGTATTAAGACAGAGTGAAGTAAATTAAAATTTCATACTTGTTTCATACTTCTTCATACTATTTTCTAATGTTAGAAAAGTTAGTTCTGCAGCTAAAATTCCTGGTAGAATGGTTTGTCATCTGTGATGGCTGGAGAATTAGACCTCTGATAGTAAATGAGAGAAGGGGGAGTCTCCGTTAAGATATATCTTAGTTTGTTAATGAAAGGGACCCTTCACCTACAAGCTTATACGAGAATATGATTCACAGTTTACCGCTAAGGCACCAAGTTCTTTTTCTTATACAAATAAGTAATAAATTCCTCACAATATTAATCAGAATCTAGCCTGCAATTTGGAAGTGCTCAAAATGTGTTTTAATTGAATAGTAAAAAATCCTGTATTTTTTTCTGTTGCTTTCTTTCTCGTGATGGATTTCTGTTTAGTTCAGGTCTCCAAATGTTACTGGGTTAAAGTTGCAGTGAGGATTAGTGAAAACTGAAAGAGCTTTCATTTTCACTAGAGACTAAACTAATACCTTAGAGTTGTGCATTTGGTTTTTTTTTTACCTTTTGAGCATTTTTCACCTAGCTAGGAAGATCCTAGGTAGGCCAGTGGGAACTGATCTAATTTGATAATACCTCTTGCAGATGTAAGGAAAAAAATCCCTGATGTTACCGTGGTCATTTGAAGGTGCTGAAGAAGAAATAACTTTGAAGGTGAAGGCGGATACAGTTTTAAGACATTAACTTAGAAACTAGCAGCTTCTTGGTTTAGCAAGCCAAGGTATGATTGTTCATATTGTATGGCAAGAGGGCTGGTAACTGTGACCAAAAAGCATACTTTATTATACTGTTATTTACCTTAAAGATTGGGACAAAGTCCTCTATGCCCTGGAGATGGAGGGAGTTGCAATTCTGACTTCTTTGGAGTTAGGACTTCAACCTGAGTTTCTCAGACAGCCATACAAACAGCTGAGGTTACTTCTGTGTACAATAACCCAGAGTTCTCATTGTCCTTTCTTTCCAAGCCCTTTTGCCTTGTTCCTTTTCTTTTTTTAATTTTATTTTGATTCTTTTTCTTAAGAGCTCTATTTAATGCAGAAAACATTCTTTTAAACTTTTTTCTTGTTTGGAAGGCAGAATTGTAAAGAAAAAAAAAAAAAGAAATTAATGATGTAATAGTGGAACAAAAGGAACAGGAAATGTGAGGAAAATCAAGAAGCTGTGTCTAAACATGCTGTATCTGAAATCTGTGGCAAAACTCGTGTAATATTACAATCAGTTACTTAAAAGAATGCGTGTGTGTTCACTGCAGGTCGACCTCAAGCGCACCTTCACCTTCCGTAACTCCAAGCAGACATACACAGGAATTCCCATTATAGTGGCAAACATGGACACTGTGGGAACATTTGAAATGGCTGTGGTTATGGCAAAAGTAAGTCTCAGCTCTCATTTCTGCAACAGTTGGGAAGCTGCTGGGTGACAGTGAGCAGCCTTTGTTGATTTTTAGCTAAGTTTGTTGGAGAACAGGGGAACATGAGTTTAAAAGTCCAGAATAAGAAAAAGCAGGTGTACTTTTACAGCACAGTTACCACAAACAAGGCTCCTCCTGGTATAAGAGTTTCAGTGGAGATGCTTCCATACTGGAAAGCTTCCATCTTGAGTGTATCTCAGCTTCAGTTAGAGCTTCTAGGGCTTACTTGTTGAGGTCCCTTTGTGCTCCCTGCCAGGAAAAAAAAAAAATTAACTGACAAGTTTTGCAAGTGTAGGTTACAGGATAGAGCTGCAGCACTTTCTAAGTTAATGAGCCTCTGTCACATTCAAAATACTGACAGTAGCTTAATGAAACATATCATAAACCTGGTCCTGAAAGGCTGGCTAAGTACATAAAGTTGCTTTTGAAGAGCTGTTAATAGTTGCCTGGTTGGTTATTCACTGTTACTGTTTCTTCCAGTCGGGATGAGCTTACACTTAAAAGGGGGTTTTCTAATGCCTTATTTTGCAGCTGAGGGAAAAATTACTAACTTGGACATTAATATCAGTTCTCTTGGTTTTTTGCTAGCATGCAATGTTCACTGCAATTCACAAGCATTATTCTCTGGAAGAATGGAAACTGTTTGCTGCCAATCACCCAGAATGCCTTGAGGTACATTTTTCTACTGTAAATTATTATGGTTTATTGCTTTGTTCTGAACTCACATACACTGAAGTCTCCTGGGAATACTGTTGTCAAGTGAGGTTTTGGGGAATGAAGATATTTGCTGTTCTTAAATTCATCAAGGGAAGTGGCTCATCCTGATTTAAAAGAACAGTTATGTGATTCCATTACAAAAGTGCTTATTTTAAGATGCAAAAAAGCAAAGTTTATTTATATCTGGGATGGAAACAGAGACGTATCCTGAACAAAGAAGGAGGAAATACTTGGGAATAGGTATGAGTGCTGTGCTTCTGTTGCTGTTGGGAGCTGTGGTAGTGCACCAGTGTGAATAATTTCAAGTAATCCAACCACAGGCTGGCCCCTTGTGGCAGGCAAAGTCTTTGCCATCAGGTGTGCAAGTGGATCTGGAGTCTGCAGTCTGGAGGCACCTAGGTGCTAGGCCCAGGCAAGGATGAGCATTGAAAGTTGTCAGAGCTTGTGTGTCCTTCACTTACCTTCTTGCACCGCACCAGAGCTCACTTTGTGCTGTTCCTGGCTGTGCTATCACATTTGTTCACAGGGTCCTAACCTGAGCCATTATATTTAGTCAATTTAAACATTGACTTAAGTTGTGATTTTCTCACATTCAGACTTATTTTCCTCTGGCAGGCCCCTGTACCAGGAGAGGCACTGTGAGTGTGCCTGGCCATCTCCCCTTCCTGCTCAAAGTTCAGTGCAGTTTTTGATCTTTCTGTGTATAGAAAAAAATACCACACAGCTGTATTGCATCTTTACCTGTGGCATATTTTAGAATTATGTTATAAAGGCTATTGATTACAGAGTTGTCTGAAAGTGAGCCTAGCACTTCAGCCGGTGAGGATACTTACATGCCAGCGTACGGTAGAAAGTGGTCCCAGGAATGTCCTGTGTCTGAGCACTTCCAAACTTAACTTATTTGTGGTACATAATGACTGGAATAGGATCTCCTATTCCTGTAGTGATTAAATACTGACCTGCACTGTGACCTTGGATTTCTGCGGAGGGTTTGTAGGTCAACAGCTGTGGAAACTATTTTTCTTTTGGAATGAACTCATTGGAAGACAAGCAATCTGCTTGTTTTCAATGGTAGCTGACCCTAGCTTGAGAGGGTAGCTTGAGAAAGGGGATTGTACTACAAAGTCTCCAGAGGACCCTCCCAAACAAAATTGTTCTGTGATTCTGTAGACCACAGGAGTGCTTGGTGAACTTAAAGACCCAGATTTTACTCTCTTACAGTGCCCCAAATTTTTCCTCTAGCTTCCTGGAAATATACCAAGTTAGGGCTTCGTCTTCATGTTCATATGAGTATGGCTGAACCTTGATTGATCTCAGATGATTATATAAGCCTGCGACAATCCACTTGTGAATGAATGCTAGAATGCTAATTTCCCTCTCTTTTATATCATTTAAACAAGACAGAAATAGCCCACTGATTTTCCCAGGAAGGTATTTATTTCATATTGCATGGTGTGATTTTTCACTAGTTACCAGCACAAGTCCTGCCAAGACTATGCAGGAAAAGACATACAAATTGTGTGTGCTTATTTCAGTTTTTGCAACCTACTACTCTGTTTTGTTCTTTCTGGTTTTTTTTAGCATGTAGCAGCAAGCTCAGGTAGTGGACAAGATGATTTGAAAAAGTTAACAAGTATACTAGAGGCCATTCCAGCTATCAGATTCATCTGCCTGGATGTAGCAAATGGCTATTCAGAGTATTTTGTGGAGTTTGTGAAGTCTGTCCGTGCCCTGTTCCCACATCACACCATTATGGTAAGTGTGTAGAAAGGCTGGAGGGGGTGTGTGTGTATGTATGAATTCTGTCCAGGAAGAGGACCCAGAGTTTGACTGGTAGGCATCAGAAGCTAGAAAAGGAAGGGAAGCAAGGAAGGATGTTAAACAACTCTTTGGCATTGTCCGTCTTCCATTGCTGATGATTTCTGTGGGAATGTTTAGTGTGTACTCTAATACAGCTGTCTGATTAAGTTGGCATGTAGGACTGGGTGGATCCAGTTTGCTTCCTGCTCATGTCCTCCTTCCCCCACTAGATGAGACCTCTAATTGTTAATTGTTACAGGTTGATTTGGGTGATTTCAAGCAGAGGTTAGCTGTGGGAGTGTGCCAACATTTCTGGCCAGCTGGAGCCAATGACTGTTAGATCACTATGAAGACAGCTCAATGCAGACTGATCCTTGCCCGTGATAAGAGTGAGAGGGATGTTGGGTAGTTGTGAACAGCATTATCAGAGAGCAAAAAGGTCAGTGCTAGGGCTTTTCGTGGTGCTTTCTGTGATGTTACTATCCCATCCCAGAGTGCTAATTCCATGCTTCCTTGAGCCCTTTTGCACTAAGAATAGGGTGTTTGCATATGGGCATGGAACTCCTGGCAGCAGAGCACTACTGCTGCTTTACAAGAGCTCTTGAAAAAATGTGTCTGAATTGTTTCCATGAGAATAGCAGAAATCCTCAAACAAGCAGCAGATCTGTAATGAGGCTACCAGACTTTCTTCAAGCCAGTGCAGCAAAAAATCATGTGTTTAGGCAAGACTTGCCTGCTTTCCGTGCCAGAGATAAAGCTTCATGTATGTAAAGTAAATGTGAAATAAGACTACTCCTAAGTGTGCATTCTCCCTTGGTTCATTAGAGAATAGCATGCATCAAGCAGCTCAGAGGAGGATGCATTCCTTTCTCCCATGTCAGAGGAAGGCAGTGTTCTTGCTTCCGAATGATGGAAAACTAAAGTGAGCTGGAATGCTTGTTGGGTTCTGGATTATCATGGACTAATGAATAGGCATTCTTCAACAGCTGCCAGGAGAGGTGGGAACCATTTGGTGTGGTCATATTTCCCATGGCTTTGGAGAGAGATTTTGGAACTATGAAATGATAAATGTGGGCCTTCTGAGCTTTCTGCTTCATATACACTGCAATGAGGGAAGAAGCTGTTTCCTTGCTTTGTATCTGAAGTATTGTCCTTAATGACATGATAACTCCAGTGTCTTTGTCTTTGAAGAGTTGTGGGAGGGAGTTTAAATTGCCAAAGATTATCTCTGTCAGGAGTGGAAAGAAAATTGTGTGTCATGCCTTCCTCTACCTCTCCACAGAGTGATGACTTTGCTGACTGAGGAGGGAAATCAACCAAGATGAATTCCCCAAAAGGCAGAAAAGGTCAATGTCAAAGTCAGATGTCAAGCCCAGATTTTAGTCCAGGGTTCTTAGACCAGTTTCATCTACCTACCATGACTGTTCTGCTGCCTTCCTAGTGTCTCTGCTTTTGTGGCTAAGGTTATTGTTACTTCAGGTGTCATTGTCTTGACAGCACCACCTGCTTGAGCACATTTACAGCCCTGATCAGTTGCCTTCTCTGACTGTAGCTCCTGTCTCTGAATGTGGCTTAAATATGGCTTATGTTTTTCATCTCTGATAATTTCCACCCCTAAAAGCATACTAACAGACTTGGCGTGTTCAAAAACCTTCAGTTTCCCACAGCCTCCAGGGTCTAATAAGAAGGTCTGAAGGTCTCTAATTCAACTAGAGACACCCACCTCTACCCAGCTTCCAAGTGAATTCCCATTTTGTGCCAAAATGGCCTTTGAAGCTGTTCCTGGCTGAAATGCAGGAGCTGGTCTAGGCTTCTTTTAATGGTAATCTGGAAGACATGTCCTGCTGCTACCTGTTCTGAATGCTTTGATGTGTCTGTGCTATGCCTGCAGTATGTTCTCTGCTGTTGGGGCTTTCAAACAAAAGGGTTAGCAGTTAAATAGTAGGTATAAAAATAAAGACACTTTCTCATAGCTGAAAGTGATCTCCAGGACCTTGCAGGCTGTCTTGTTTGCTTTCCTCAGCATGACTATTCATTCCACAGTCAGCTGCAGTGCAATACATAACAGTAACCCAACCCTGGATCTCAGGGAATGTGTGTTCCCAGGGGCCACGTAATGGGTTCAGCTCTGAGGTTCACAGGGGATGTGCAGAGCAGCTGCGGTTAATGTAGTACTCTCTATGGCCAATACTCCCTGGCAGATGGAATATGTCTCTTGTGTAACAACCTTTCAAATGCATGTTTCTGTCTTTTTAAATACTTACTTTACAATCACATTACCTTATTTTCTTCTGCCTGGTTCTGACACAAGGTTTTTTCACTACTGCTTTTTGTATTAATTTACAAAGAAGATCAGTTTCTCCATGGAACACAAAGGGTAGGGAAGACAAACAGGGACACAGAGGTACAACGTGACTTGTCTTAAATCACTCATCAGGTTGGGAATGGGGTAAGAAGGAATATTTAAGTCTTCTGAGTGTCTCGCAAGTGCCTCCCAAAACCAGGAAGGTCCTGAGGAGAATCACCCATTGGGGTGTTTCACTGTTGCACCGCATTATTCTACATCTATTGTGCTTGCTTGCTCAAGTCTAAAGAAAACCTTTAAGTCAGCATTCATGATGGAGGATCAGAGCCTTTATATTACAGGTTGCATAGTCCTTGTTTATTAGTTTAATTGTAGACTTTAGGGTTATTCCATCAACCTGAAAGTCAGTTTACAAGCTAAGTTATCTTTGCCAGCAAGGTTTGCCAAGTTTTTATGCTGAATTTTTCTTTCTGTGGTATTCCTCTGTTCATTATAGAAGAACAACCCTGAGGGGAGCAGGGAGTGTGGCAGGAAGAAGGCTGAGGCAGGAGCACACTTGGAGATACAGTAGCACCCATAAATTGTGGGCCAGAGAAGGAGACAAGCTGAATTACAAAGCAGAAGCAGAGGGAAACAGCAGGAACCAGAAACTTTTGCTCCTCCTTGGAGTCAGTAACAGAACTTTTCTGGGCCTTAGCTGGAGGCAGGAATCAGTCAGAGAAAGCTGTGCAGACTACTCCCAGTTCATCCCTGGAACACACACCAGAGTAAATTCAGTTGTGGCGTGTCCACCAGGGCTGACGTCTTAGAACAGGGGCCAGGCAGGATCCCTGGATAGGAGAGGGTGATGCTGCTGAGCCTGTCTCAGGTCAGGCATGGTACTGAATGCAGGCAGCCACCTTGCAAAGGGCATCTCCCTCCATCTCATGGTTAAGCACCCCTTGCTTTTGTGGGTGGGAAGTGTCCTTTGGCCGTCTTCCTGATAATGTGGAGGCACAGACTGTGCTTTCTTCTAGGATACAAGAAGAAAGTTTGAGAACTGTTGTCATAGACACTTCTCCCCAGCTCGATCCATTGCCATTTGCCAGAAGCTTTCAATCAGTGCAGCAGTGTTCCTGTCTTAGGCAGTATGAGTTGATATTTATAGCAGGCTTTCATGAGGCACATCATGCCTCATGAAATCAAGTATCAAATGCCTGACTGAAATTCAGAGGCACTTCCCTACTGTGTTCACTAATTTTGTATCTTTGTCAGAGAAGTCGTAGTCTTTATAATCCTGTTAGGTAAAATCTTGATCTTGTTAAAGTCAGTAGGGAAACTCCCTTTGACTTTTCTGAGGCCAGGATTTATTGACCCACAGTTCAGTCATCTTGGATAGTGCTGGAATGACCCAGGATGGTGTTCACTTGAAACCTCATTCTGAATGATGGTACATCACAATAGTTGCATCAATTTCTGTGTTCCCTGACTACTTGTGTAAACACACTGCAAAGTGTATTGTCTGTAGTGACTTCAGTGTGCACATTCCAATTGTGTTCTATTATTTAAAATTAATTTGAGAGGGTTTCATTTCTAACTGTAGTCTCAGACTTTCTTTATTGACCTTTTCAGATTTTTTTAAAAATTTGTTTTTTAAAGTTGAAGTATTCTGGCTTTGCCATACCAGTGGGGACTTCAAAAGCTCTTCTGCCTCAATTTATACTGGTATCAGTGGTAAGGCAAGCACTGGTTTCAGTAAAGCAGAGTTCAGCTGAGTGTGAGTAAACTGATTTCCCTTTAGCTTTCATACTGGGGTTTCTTCACATACAGATAGCTGTGCCTCCCTCATAGTGGTTTTTTGTGCTCTCTGAGGTCTGCAGAAGGTACCTAAAAGAAGCAAGCCTCTCATTGGCAGGTTGAAGTCTGCTATGTAGAGCTTCACGTCTTCCTTGAAAATTTGTTAAGGATCTGCAGATTCAGAAAGATAGAAATCAGTGGTGTGTACATGCATTCCAGGGAAAAATGTATGCTGGGGACATAAGTGTTTTTCCCTGCTAGTATGAGCATTTTGAACCAACATATGCAGTTCCAACATTTTCTAGCAGTAACTTAACAGTAAACGTCTGGTTAACATTTCTGAAGAGACAGTTTGACAACCCTCTATGCTCTGCTAATAAGAAGACACTGCTGTTTAAGTTAAATACATGTTTGATCCCAAATCTCATGAAACCACTGACTTGTTCCTTTCTATTTATGAATTTTTGAATGTATTCCAGTATTTCACCAAGTTGTAATGTGGTGTGTGTCATACAGCAAAGGTGGTCATCTGCCTTCCAGAGGTGATCTGCTTCCCTCATGTCCTAAGTGGCACACTTCATCATCCCACCTTGGAACGTGCAGCACTTAGTATATACTAACAAATTACCATTGTGCAGAAAGGAAGCAGCACTTAGCTGAAACACTGTACCTATTATATATTCTTTATTTCCTGATTGTTCTATTTTATTTTTAGTCAATATCATGCTCTTTTGAGCAAAGTTAAGTGGTTCTGTATCATAGACCACAAATTGCTGCTTGATATTATCATTGTTTTTATAAGTACTTCAGGTGGTGGCTTGTCAGCTGTTTCAAGCTAATAAAAGGAGGAAGCAAAATTCAGTAAAAATAAATAAATGGTGAAATAGGAGTCAGAAATCATTATGGGGAGAACCGGCCTTGCCCAGTATTCCCTGGGTACCCTTCTGTTGACTTCAGCAGTAGTTACATTTGAATAAAAACTAAGAAAATACTAATTGAGGTCTTTAGAATTTGCTTCCTCCTCTGCCCATATCAGTACTGCTACAAACACTTGCTAAGTCCTGCAATATCATTATGTAAGAGGTTTTCTGAACATCCCTATATCTAAATTCAGATCTCCAGAAATGAATAGCCTGTCTTTTGTAAAAAGTGCAAAACAGCTGATGTGGAAAACTGGAGATTTATCTTGTGCAGTTTTTCTAGTTAGGAATGTTCTGTAGATGTGAGACAAGCCACAGAGCTGAGATACAAACCAAACTTGGTTTGTAATTGTCCAAGAGTACTGAAGGAGCTAGCAAATGTTAGAGCAGGACCCCTCTCATCACCTATCAAAGGTCTTGGGAGTCTGGGGAGGTTCCTGCTCACAGAAAGCAAGATGGTGTTACTCCAGTTTACAGGAAGGGTGTGAGGAAGACCTGGGAAACTAAACACAGAGGCATGAGGCATTGGCTTCTCTTCAGGAAGCTTGTTCCAGGGTTTGTCTACTCTCTTGCTTAAGAACCGATTCCTCATGTCAGGTCTGAACCTCCCTGAGGGACACAGCTTTGAGCCATTCATATGCATCCTGTCACTGTATCCCAGGGAGAACTCAGCACCTCCCTCTCCACTTCCCTCCTCAGGAAGCTGTAGTGAGCAATGAGGTCGCCCCTTGGCCGCCTTCTCTCAAAGTTAGATGAACCCAGTGCCTTGGCCACTCCCCACAGTACCTGCCTTTCAGTTGCATCACCAGCTTTGCTACCTTATTCTGGTACATTCAAAGACCTTCACATCTTCCTTAAATTGTGGGGTGCAATTTATAGGATTGCATTCCTTCTACAATGTTCTCTCAGAGTATGGGAATGCAATTAGTATAGCTGTAGTGAGTCAGTTCAACGTGTGCTATGTCAGCATTCATTTGCCTTGCGCAGCCCTTTGCAGAGAGGAAAGCGTGGTCTGAAAATGCACTGGATAACAGTTTGTTTTCAAATGTACCTCAAAGCGTAGGTTTTAGCTCATAAATCTCCTCTGAATAGGATTCAAATGTCATTTGAAATCTTTGCTGTTTGAAGACTGTCTTTTCCCCAAAAATCATCTGGATAGAGGATACTCCTGGCAAGGGAATTAATCACTAGCCTTACTGTGATTACTGATCCATCAGATCCACAGTTGGATGCATGCAAGGGCCTGTCATGTCACACTGAGCTTGCATCAGAATGTTTCTTTAACTGAATAGAAACAGACTGGCAGCTCTCTGCACTTACTGCACCAGTTTTACAAGCCAATTACCAAGTGTGTGCTAGAAGGTTGTTTTGTAGTTTCTTTTATTAAAAGTATCTAATTTCATCACACTGGCATTCTCTGCATTCACAGCATCCATGGACCAGAAAAATCTGTGTCTCATGGTATGTTACTACAGGCCTTGTACCCAGCTGAGGCTCTGACAGAAGAGGGCCACAATAAACCACGTGTGAAAAACCATACTCCAGGAATAGGTAACACAGTATCAGGGGAGGTTCTGCAAGTTTCTGCTACAATTTGGAATAGGTAAATGTTCCTGGAGGCGTAAGTAGATCACACGGTGACTGTGAGCCACCAGTGTGACACAGGCAAATGCATTCTTTGTGTGCCAGGCAAGATATTTCCATAGAAAAGACAATTGTTGTGTAAAGCTCTGAGAACTTGGTGAGAACAGAACTCACCTGTACCACTGTGGTTAGTTCTCATTCTTGAGGTTCAAGAAAGATCTGTCTGGTATGACTTCAAGGGCAGACAAAGACTAAGCAATTCATTAGGGGTGTGGAGAGCCAATAGAGGAAGTTTTCTAGAAGAAGCAAGGCAAATGCCAAGAGAGCTGCCTTCACTTTCAGCAAAGATAACAATGTAGGTAAAAGGAGGAAAAGAGCTGTCGAAATGGAAGGAAAAATATAGTAAAGAACACAAACCATTTCAGAACTTTAGGGTGTTACCCTAAATAGCATGCTCTCTGTATGACTGCAAAGGTCATGCAGAGGGAAACAAACCCCTGTTTTTAACCAGTAACGTCACCACAACCAAATGTATGTATATGGTGTGAATGCTCAGATTTATATAGTCTGTATGTACATACCAATTTTGGCACCAATGCACAAAATTAGAAGACTAGTACCTTACTTTCTTACCTTCTTTCTTAGTGGGCAAAATACTGAATCCTAAAGGAAAAAGATATTTTCCAGTGTTTTAAACAAGATTTGAACTTCCTGTAAAGCGAGTTAGACAAAAGGCATGGAGATCTCTCGGCTGTTCAGGAGAGATAGGTAGGGCAGGAGAGGTGGAGGAGTTCACTGTATATGAGAAGAATAACCCCTGTAGTTAGGGATGATGTGTTTGAGAGCCTCTAGGTGAGGATTAGGGGAATGGATGACAAAGCAGATCTCCTGATGGGATGCTAAGTATCAGGGTTTACTGGGCTAATTGTAAAATTCATTTGATTGGAGAATTTACCTGTATGACTGGTTTAGTCTCAGTGGCACGTTTAAGGAACAGTATGGTGAACTATTTTCTTCCATATTCTGTATAGTTCAACTTGTAAAAGCTCTAGATAAAACTTTACATTATCATCATTAGTTACTGCAGCAGTCTTGAGATCTCCTATACACGTGATGCTGTTCTTTCTTTCTAGGCAGGCAATGTGGTGACAGGAGAGATGGTAGAAGAACTTATTATTTCTGGAGCAGATATTATTAAAGTGGGTATTGGACCAGGTAAGTCAAATAAGGGTGGCTTTTGGTACCACTGGTACAGTTGTCCAGATGGAACAAGTATATAATGCTGTTTTCTTGCCTGTTACAATGCAAGACCCTCTCAGCTCAATGAAGTACCAGTGAGCTTGCACACATGGTGTGTTTAAGAAATACACAGGGTGCTGGAGTTTCATACTGCATGGTGTTGCATATTGCACCTTCAGTCAGTGAAGATGCCTGTTATTGGAAGCACTGGGCTGCCTGAGTTCCTGACATTTTCACTGATAATGTGTTGTGTTTGGGAATACTTTTCTAGCCTGTTGAAAAGAGGATGAGTCATCCAAGCTAAAGCTCAAAGGATACTGTGTTCAGGTGTCCACTTCTATCAAGGAAAGATGGGTTTCTGAATAGAAAATTATTTATGATTTGTGTTCTGTGAAGCTGAGGTTATTCTTGTCAATGTCTTCAAAGATGAAATGGCGTCAGTTGTGAAATACTGATGACTTTGCCTCTTCCTGCTACTATTGCCTGGGAGCTAAAATTTACATTTATGCACTTACATGCTATCTATCACTCTAACATTTCCATGGATAAACAAGAGGATCCTGAACTTCTTACACTGTTTTCCCTATCTTCCCCAATGTTGTTGTCTGGCATATACTGCCATCATCTATCTATTTTCCTTTTCGTCTTCTTTTTTTTTTTTTTTTTTCCTTTTTTTTTCCCTTCCTTGTGCCTTCCTTCACATGTTCCTTCTCTTGCTATTTTCTTCTTAGATTGCAGCTGGAGTCTCCATATGTGGGCTAGATTTTGAAGTGGCTAACACAAATGCCAATGACAGTATAGCTGTGATCAGCCAGTGCAGTGCAGGCAGATTGTTTACTCTGCAGTGCCAGATAGTTATGGTCCATGAATGGATAACTGGAGCAGAGAAAACGTTGTAATAAACATTGCAGTTGTGCCCGGGAAGATACCAAACAATAAATACTGCAAAATAGATGAAGAATAAATAACAGAGATTTCATGGTGTAATTGTCATGGACAAATTCAGATTTAAAAGAAGAATAATTATAATTTGTAGCCTCAAACATGGAACATGTTTGATGTAAATGCTGTATAGTCTTCCCTGGAGGTCTTCCTGAACAGATCTGAACAAGTTGACCATGAAAACCCACAAGTAACAAATGTTTCTCCCTCAGGTCTTGAGGTTCTTTTCCAAATAATGATCCATCCTGTGGAAAATGGCAGTGATTTATTATAAAGCATTACATACACTATAAAATACAAGCCCTGTGGAAATCATATTAAAACTAATTTTCTTACTATTTTGCAAGAATTCTTCTGAGTGTTTTTACTTTGCCAGTTCTTTGAAGGATCTTTGGTAACTTTTGCTTTACTGGTAGCTTGAGTATATCTGGATATCAGCTGAGTGAAGGGATCCAGATTTCACTGCATTTGGTTCAGAATCTGTTTTGAAATTCTCATTATCATGCAGACCTTTTAGGTCTGTATCCTAAATTATAGGACCTATACTGGCAAAAAGCAGTCCTCATTGTGACTCTTAATTTAAAGAAAAAAATAGAGAAGGTATTCCAAGAGATCTATAGCCATGTTGCTATGTTGAACTGTAATTAAATTGTGTGTGTATATATATACACACACATATATACACATTTTTTTTCTATACATACATGCATGCACAATGTATGGATATAAATAATATAGTTCAATGATTAGATATAGTTCATATATTTCCCTTGATGTTGGACTATACAGCTTTCAGATGATTGTTTATCTCATTTTTAAATACTGTGAGCTGATTTTTTTATATTGCCCAAAACCAAATGTTTCTGGCCAGAGAATTACTTCTTTAAACATGCAGAAAAGAGATAAAAATACTTATTAGAAGAAGTAGTTAGGTAATAAATGCTGCTGCTGAGTCCCTCAGGTTGTGATTCTGGTCCTTTTGTCCCTTCCCTTCAGGCACCTCAGTCAGATTTGCTTTCTTGTGATGCAGTAATTCCCTTACTGAGAAGCATTACTGATGAGAACTAAACTGGGACTAGCCCTGGAGATAAAAGGGAGGACATTAGTCTACTCAGCCACAGCTCCCATGAAGTGGCATGAGAGCATTTCAGAACTCAAGTTCCTATGTTTTCCTTTTATCTGTGAGAAGCCAGCACTGGCAATATAGACTTCTTGAGAGAGAAATAATGCTGATAAAAACATATTTTTTCTGTATCGTTTCTGTCATCCTAATGGGCTATGTTTATTCCTCTTGTTCTCTTGTCTAGGTTCTGTGTGTACCACTCGGATTAAGACAGGGGTGGGCTACCCACAGCTAAGTGCTGTTATTGAGTGTGCAGACTCAGCACATGGCTTGAAAGGACATATCATCTCTGTAAGTAACTATCATCCACTCTCACATTCCCACTGTGCAAATTGTTGTGGAACTGGAGAATCAAACAGTCTAGTACCTTACATGTTAAAGCCTGTCCTTCTGTTGTCCCCTGTTGACTCCTGTATTAGCTCCTAGGACAGTCAGTGGAGATCCAGATATAAAGAAACCAACTCCCTAACATTAAAAAGACGTGGGAACCTCACTTCTGTTTATGACATTCAAAATCTGCTTCTTTCTCCCTGAATGGAGTAAGCTGTTATGTAAACAGAATAGGAAGCTTGATACTGTTTTCACTATTGAAACAAACAGTAATTCCAATGAAAGGCTTCTGAAAAAGGGGTGGAATGTAAACATGACTTTCCTCAGAGTGTGACTGAGGGGCAGACAGGCAGTAGAGGGGAGCACAACGTAAAATGATGCGAGCCCATCAGTGCCATAGTTGGATTGATTCAGATAGCATCCTCACAGAGCTCTCTGTGCAGGGGCAGGAGTGTTTGAGGTGGCTCTTTTGAGTACAGCTGGCACGTGAGCCCCTTGAGTTCTCACTAAGCTCTGGGAAATAACAAGCCTGTGGAGGAAAAAGAGCATCTGTCTGTATTGCCTGCTAATGGCAGTTTCCACTCTTGTCAGCAAGACCAGATTCACCTCACAGAGAGAAAGTAAATTGGTAAGCATGGCCCCAGACTGAGCTAGAGGGCAGTCTGCAGCACCCAAAGGCCCCGTGTGCATGGGAACACACAGGCAGTCAGCATGTCCTGGCCGTGCCAGGCTGGCACAGCCTCTGCAGGCTGCCTGTGAGGCAGCTGCTCATGGGGAGGGCACAGGGCCTCACCTCTGTGCTGTGCTCACAGCCAGCAGCCTCTCTCTGCCACCCTAGGAGAGACCACATACTGGATTTTAGATCTACTGCCAAGTGAAATCACTGTAAGGCCGTGGTTTCTTTGACCCAGTTGGGACTAGTATCCATGTGAGGAAGGAGGAGTGTTGTGTTGCGTTGTTGAGGAGGGAGATGAGAGGAAAACAAACTGATTTGGGATGGGCAAAGGGTTTGAGTGGATCTCTTGGAGTATAATGGAGAAGGAACATGTTATAGTCAGATCTCTCTTGCTCTTAACTGTTAATGAATATGCAGTCCCTCCTCCCCATGGCTCCTCTATATGAATTTTGCAGAAAAAAAGAGAAGCAGTATGTGATTTTTATGACTTGGCCAGTATTGCAAACGTTTCTGCCTCTAACAGACAAGTAGAACATGTGTGCAATAGAGCATGAAAGCTTCACTCGTTGCTGTGAAGGCTGGTAAGTATAGGTGTCATCCTAGCAGTGGTGCTCAGAGACCCATCCTAGTTTTGCAATAATCATTTTCTGTTAGCAGTCCTCAGAAAAATGCTGGTATCCTGATTTTACAAGACAACAGGGAGTGTGTATTCAGACTGTTGAAAAATTAGGTGGTTCTATACTGTATCTCCTGCTTTGGGAATGGATCAGTTCTCGTCTTGCTCAGGTTTCAGTGATCCCACACCTATCAGCCCCCTATAGAGGAATATAGGAGGGCAATTTGATACCTGTCTGCTACCAACATCTGGGCCAAGAGAAATACCTTCAGCTGTGGCTGGAGTCTCTAACATCACTTCAGCTCAACTGTCACCCAATCTAAGAGTAAAGGAAGGCTAAAGACATTATGCCTGAAATCTGGAGTATATTCAGAGGGTGTTGGTGTATTTATTAGGGAAAGAAAAAGCTGGACTGCATGGCTGTTGCCAGAGCTCTGGGAAGAATATCATGGAAGAGAGGAATCCTCATGACAGAAAAGCAACATGTGGCAGCAATTTCAAGTATAGAATTGGGTCTGGTGGCAACAAGTATACCTGGCATCCCTCAAAATATCTCACTGCTGTCTTTCTGGGGATTGAAGAAGGGGCTCACCCTTCCTGAGCCAAAAGAAATCCCTACAGGCAGAGTATTACCATAGCTATCTGTGTCAATTTCCCAGGAGAAAATGTGTACAGCAATTTTTGTTATGTTAATATGGAAGTAGCAGGAAGGATGTGAAAGGATTCAAAGCTTACTAGCTACCTTCATGAAATTATAGCTAATGGTGTGATATGGGCTAGTCCCTTGGGGTACTTTCTTGTATCCACTTCTGCTTTGTCCAGTACCTTCATCAAATTAACTCCTTATTCTTGTTATGTTGGTACAATTTCCATATGAAGGAAAAGAAGTCTTACTGTCAGAATGAGGAGGTGGTGGTGCTGAGCACAGCATAGGCACTGCAGAGGGCACAGCACGACTGAACCCTGATCTTCAGGAGCTCTGCTAGGATGGGAGCACAGACTGGGATTTTAAACATTCCTGTTACTGAAGTTACCATGTATTTTTTGGAACTGATTCGTTGACAAGGAAGATGACAATTTTCAGGCAAACATGATAGTCCAAGTGAACACCTGGTGTCTGTCTAGTCATTTACACAGAGAAGTAGGAGGTAAAATTGCACCAGTTACTTTCCTCATGCTAAATTATCTGTAAGACTCAATGCTCACCTCAGAAATTAATCTTTCATGACTCACTGAAAGCAGAGAGGAAACCCTCCCTAAGATACAGGCATCGTTTCTGTCCCATGATGTTTGCCTGGGAGCCAGTAGTCTCAATTTTCATTGCTAATCCATTGGCCTTGAGAAAGTGCTGCAGTGAGTTACAGTGGAGGGGGCCTGCTGGAGATGTTTCTTGTAGGTCAGAGAACTCCTCTGCTGGACAGAGAGGCAGTCACATATTCTAGTAAGCCAGCAATGTGGGGAATGGAAAACAGCCCTGCATGTGTCCTTTCTCATGTGGCTATCATTTGACAGAGATCCCTGTTTCCCTTTCTCCCTGCCTGGGTGATAGGTCACCAGCATTCAGTGAAAAGAATGACTAAGGGTTCTTCACCCAGATACTGCCATACTGTCCCTTTTTCCACACAGAACTCTTTCCACACATAAATATACCTGGTATACGTAGTTCAGAATAAAGCACCATATGTATTGTATTTACTGCTGCATAAGCCACATACTTTATATATCTTCTGCATAATAGTTATCTGTTTTCTGATACTGTAGAAAGCACTGGTTATGCAGTTTATTTTAAAGATTGCTTGAAACACAAATCATAGTTATAAACTCATTATAAATTGCATATAATACTAAATGTTCAACCAGTGTACACTGATTTTTCCATGCTGTATTTTTTTCTTTGGGCTAAATTTTGTTGCTGTAAAATGGCTTATTTATCTGGAGAACAAGACTGAGGACAAAAATGTTACTTCAGCCACATGAAAGTAATTCTGTTGACTGGAAAGCTGCTTTCCCCTGTCCTTCTCCCTAGTACCCACTTGGCTCAGAATCATGCTGTCTGCAGATTCCATGACCGTAAGCCTTTCCAGTAGTCTTACTTTGGTATTATGCCAGTTCTCCTGAATTCAGAGGCAGATTTTTACAGATAAATTTCCCCAGGATTCTGAGGTAGAGGCTGAGCCTGCAGCAAGCTCTGTAACTGAAGCCTACATCTACAAGTCATTTTGAACTCAGGCCCAGGGCCCTGTTGGGACAAGCTGAATTTCAAGGGGAAGCTTCCAAGGCAATGCAGCAGCAGAAGAGTCTTACTTTGTAAACAGAAAGCCTGCTTTTTCACATGGAATGAAGTGCTTTACTGCATCTGGTTTTATTATATAGCATCTTCTGACATAACTGCTTAGTATGTTCCCTTTTTGTTTCCCTTTCTATGAATCACTAAATTTACCTGCTTATCTGAATTAACTGGAGACATCTACAGATAAAGAAGGGCTGTGAATCATCATTGTCAGTTCCTTTTATCTTAAATGGTAACCCGTGAGCTTTTAGACAAGTCTCTTAAGCTGCTCAGCATTTTGTAATTTGGTAACATTCAAAGTGATATTTTTTGAAGCTGGTGATTAATGGTTACACAGTGAGGCCCCCCATTCTCATGGTACCTCATAAAACCTTCATCATTGCCACTACAGGGTTAGTTACAAAGGTCAGATACTGAGCCACCCAAAAACAACTGACTGCAGCCCATCTACCAGTGAGCATTCAAAGCCAGTGTCTCTTCAGACAGTGAGAGACCTAAAACTGTTCTTTGAAGATTATTAGACCCTTCTTTCTACCCTGGCTCTTCCTCCCCTGACACATGCACACATACTCACACCCTCCTCCAGGCTATGACAGACTTGTTAAAGGGAAAGAATTGCACAAGCAAAGTGCTTAAAAGGAGAGAGAGATTCAGCTGTCAGCCCAGCACTTGTTCCTGGAGCTGACAGCAAGGATGTCTAAGCTCAACAAAAGGCATAATGTGCTAGAGGTTATCAGCAAATGGAATAAAAGCCTTTAAAGTTCTACCAGATGCTGTTTGCAGTGGGGTGCCCTTTGAAAAGCCACTCACTTTTGGATCCACCTGCTCAGTTTGTGTCTGAATCCTTTTCTGGGCACACGGAGTTTCTAACCCACAGCCCTGCAGCTAGCTGCCCATCAAAGCCAGCTCTATTGTGGCTGATGGTGGGGGTGTCTGGCTGTGCTCGGCCGCAGGTCATGCACAGCCACACATTTCTGCCAACAGGGAGGTGAAACAGCGTGAGGTAACTGGCCAGTGTGGGGGTAGCTTCAAAAGCAGGAAAGATGCTGGCTGTCTGCAACGGATCCAGATCATCAAAGGAATGGGGAGCTCTCCTGGTACAATGACTCTGTATAGACTAAAGGATCTTTCATCTGGTGCTCAGACCTTTACACATCCTAAAGAATCATAGCACATGATGAGCTCTGCTGTGTGCCATTCCTTTTTTACAGCTCTATCACACATACACAACCTCCCTCCCCTCAGCTGAACCCCCTTCATCAGACACTGCATTGCACTGAAACTGAAATACATAAGTCTAAAATGTTAAAGGTCCAGAGTGCTGTTGTTTCCGTACCAAGCCCATAGCAAACAGTAAGGAGTAGGATGAGGGCTCATTTTTGCTTACCAAAGATTGTATTAACCTGGTTTGTTAGAGATTATCAGATAAAAATCCATCATAACTGATGTATATTCCCTCTCCCCTCCCACTGTGACCTTTTAATATATTGTAAAGTGCTGAGAAAGTTATTTTAAATGTCTTTGGTGGTTTAAGGTAGAGGCTTATGGTACCTCTGCATCACACAGCCTTTCATTAAAAATGGCAGGGGATGATTCAGATCATCAGAGAGGATTTTGTTTTCTGGTTTCTGGGATTTGGAAACTTGCAGTCGGGAATTTGCATTGCTGCTGTTACCAGTGGTATTATCAGTAGACTGTACAGTAGAGTGGGTGAGCCTCAAGGAGGTAAGCAGTGGAAAGGATTATCTGGATTCCCTGAAAACGCAGCCAAGATGATACATCCCGAGTGCACAATCAGCTCTCTTGACACGCTGTTCCTGAGCAAGGGCCACAGTGCTGCAGGTCGAAGAGCTCCAGTGCTCACTGGGTCCCTGAGTGACCTCGCTGCCACTCACTGTCTCTTTTCTTTGTGCAGGATGGAGGATGCAACTGCCCAGGAGATGTCGCCAAAGCGTTTGGTAAGGATAGTGTGTTACGACACACCCACGTGTCTCCAGCACCCCTGGCAGCAGGGATGCAGGAGTCGGTGTGACCCTGAATGTGTAATAAATTAGCAGGAGGTTATGTTAGTCCCTGCAGCTGACTCCAGTGAAATTAATGCACCAGGCATGAATTTGCTCTTTGGAATAGACAGTACAAATTCTTCAGTGAAAAATGTAGAGTGGTCAAAGTGCTATTTAGAAATTATCTGCCAGGTGTGTATGAGATACAGCTGCTGGGAGGGTAATACGAAGAAAACTGATAAGGGTTTCTTCTGAGTGGGGTTCAGAGATGCCTGTAACATTGCCAGATCTGGCTGACTTGAGCCTTGAGTGGAAGGAGGGCTGGTGGAATGCATGTTGGACAGAAGAACAAAACAAAAAGGCAGGCCAGATCCCTGGAGATGTTCTTGGGATCAGCTGTCCACTTGAAGAGATGAGATTTTATTTATACTGTATCCCCTAGAGCTAGGCAGATGTCTGAAACATCTAAGTTAATAATTAACAGATTTTGCTTTCATGTCAGTAAGTTCAGTGAATTGCACCAGCTTTTAGTGATAGAAGATCTGTGAGTATTGTCTGTTGGGCATGAAAGTTATGTTGGTATTGGGGGGGTCAAACTCATGATTGTTACTTAGCCATAACCTTTTTACAGTAGCATATGGGAAGCAGGTGCAAAATGCATCCTGAGATGACAAGATCTTTAAAGGTACTCCCCCACTCTCCCAAAATGCCAGACCCTTTGGAGGTGTCAAGTAGGGTAATGCCTGGAATACAGTGGGACAGCACAGTTTCACTGGGATTTCAGGGTGGTATGAAAACAAGAAATAGCACATTATGATACAAAATGTCTGCTTTGCAGGTAGCTTTGCAATTATGGGAGGTAGAGGCAGGCCTAAACTCAGATTATAGACTTGCCAAGAAAAACTCTAGGCCTCCTGGAAAGGTTGAAACCAAAATCTGTCTTCTAAGTTTGCAGATAGTTCCTGTTTTGAGACAGGTCAGATGACAAGGAAGACTTTATTAGAGAATTCTAAGGACAGCTGTAGAGGGATTGCTACCAGCAATGAATGGGCTTGCTCAGAGGATTACATATAACCCTTGTGTTACCCAGTGGTGATGTGATGCAGGGAATAGATACTTCTAGTTGGGTGATTCAGCATAGCTGAACAGCAGCATCCCTCCTCTTAAACAAGACTGTATTAAAAAATGCCCAACCTCTCCTCAGCCCCGACTCTGACGTGCTGCCTGCAGTGAGGTCTTTATTCTGCCTTTCTCCAGCTTCACAGCTCACCAAGTTCTTGCTGGTGGTGTGGTCCTTGGGAGCTTGTGAACTGAAACTGTGACCTCACTGTATTCCCACTGTATTCTATCTGTACAGAAACCTGGCCTGTGGAAAAGGTCTTTCTTCAACAAGAGCATTTCCAGGAGCTAGAACAAGAGCAAGCAACTTCACAGTGTTTCAAATGTTTTCCTTTGTAGTGTTTATTACAAGTCTGAAAGATCCTTGTAGTCTCTTTGGGCTAACTGAACCTGAACCTGCTTGAAACCTATGATGAGACAGCTTCTGGCTTTGCTGTTCATCAAGAGGTGCTGGGATTCACAGTGGTGCATGTCTGAAGGCTGCCACAGAATTATCCCTTGGAGAGAGGAGCATCAGAAAGCTGATATTTTCCAGGCAGTAGTTGTACTCTTGATAGTAACCCAAATAGATCAGTGTGACTGTGTGTCACAGCTACAGAGCTGGAAATGATGGAGATGACCCCGAGGCAGTAAACTTACTGTATCTGGTTATGTACACTTGAGGTAGACACTGTGAGCATCTGACAAGCTGGACCCAGATGTGCATTTGTCAAAGGTATGTGGCAAAATAAGCTTTGACATAACATTATTACTATCAGTGTTTATTGAATGCTGCTGAAGTGATTGGCTGAGCTTTGTAGAATGTAGCCACCATGTCCAATATTTACAAGTCAAAGCCTTGATACTGAATTGTCTGGCATGGACCTCTGTGCTTGAATTACATGAGTGTACTGGATAGCAAAGGCCAGGTAATAAAACACCCAGATCTACAGTTTCATCATAGGGATGAAGGTCTGGACAAAGCATGGGCAAGAAGAGACAAGAAGAGGACTTTGGTTAAAGTAGTTATGCCATCTCTTTCTGGTAGATTGCTGTAAAATCTTCATGGGATGGGATGATTCCCTATAAAGCAGTGACAGAGCATCTATTTGAATTATGGGACGTGTGAGGGAGTCCCAGATGTGAGGACAAGCACTGACAAATGGCTAAAGGTGTCACTGGAGAGGAGCCAAGTTCATGGAAATAGGAGGAGTAGATTGGATTGAGTGAGAGAATTGTGAAGAGCTGAGAAACAGATGTTGAGAAGCTTTAAGGTGACACCTCTGACTTGGTATCAGGACTCAGAGGCAGATTGGGCATTTTGACAGAGGGGAAACAAGGTAGAAGCCTATTTAAAAATGCAAGGAACAGGGAAGCACTGAAGGTGAGGGACAGAAATGCTTGGAGAAACATACTTGGGAGAGTGCTGGAGTTCTGGAACCACTGGGTGGGAACCTGGTATGGATTCAGAAAACTGAAGATGTCACTGCCATCTGGATATTAGAGATGATAATAAAAGATGTATGTAGTTTGATAGGAAAGAAAAGAGCTGTTTTGATGCAGGAATGCGATAAAGCATGAAAGAAATTAATGCTGGCCTCTTAGATGGTTCATACAACAGAACCCTTGGAAAGGCTGATAACATGAACACGTTTCTCAGAATGCTCCAGGGAGGCACTACTGTCTCCTTTTTTAATGATGAGAAGTCAAAGCACAGAAATATTAAGTTCAGTTTCCTGAGGTCACATATATTTTTGTGACATAGCCAGGAAAGAATGTGCCTTTTGAATCCTATGCCAGCATCTTTAACACATTACTGCTGTTCCTTACAGCAGTGGTGAGAAGAGATGCAGGAGCAGGGAAGGAAAAGGAAAGAAAAATCATATGGAAAAGTCAACTAGGGACATACACCAGTTTCAAATTATACCAGATCGCACTGGCTTTTTCTCCGTTTTTTTTCCAGCAGCTGTGTGTGTACCTACTGCTGCAAAGGCTTACTGGCTCAGCTGGAGCACAGGTGAATGTTAATTCCAGGGCAAGCTCTGGTCGAGGCAAACTTACGCTGCATCTGCCTGGAGGGCTGCCCAGCTCACAAATCCAGGCTGACTCCAGCTGAATTTGTGCAGAGCCAATCTGGTTATCAGTGACTTGTATAATCAGGCATACAAAAGACATCTGAGGGACTCTATCCAGATCCAGCAGAACTGTGTGAGTGCTGCAAGCTTGGGCTGGTGTCAGCACTGCTATTCTGTAATGGCTTGAAAGAGGAGGCACTGTGAAATGTGAATGAGCAAAATCAGCCCAGATACAGCATAGGCCTCAAGGGGAAAGTCAGTGCGCGAAAGTGGCATTGTGTAAAACCAGGACAAGTCTGGCCAGCTCTGGGTGAGCTACTGGGATGCTTGTGTGCAACGTAGCCCATCACATTCTGTGTTATCTAGGGGGTTGTTGCCAGGTGTTCCCACTCTCCCACAACCTAAAATAATGTCTTGCTGTCAATCTGTACTTGAAAACAAAAGACTGCAGGTGGATGTTGCAAGCATCCCTAGTGCTTCCAGTGGTTATACAAGAAAAAGGTGTGTAAGTTAAAGACCATGCTAAAAACTACAACCTCCTTGTCAGATTTTAACTGATGGAAGCATAATGGAACAGACTTGAAATTTTCTGATATCTTTGCAACACTGAAGCACAGTGGAAGGTTCTGGAGAGCATTGGAGAAGAATATTTAGTATGGGCTTGTCATTTCTGGAGCAGCAGGGCAGCAAGCATGTGTCATTTCAATGTTTAGACGTGCTGCATCTGCTGTAACATAGCTCCTCTCTTCTGGAAGAGCTTGATGAATTATGTTGTAGTTTGCAAAAGTTACTCAAGTTGGATGAATTTCAGTCCTGTAATTCAAACATATTTGCTTCTCTCCCAAAAATATGCAGCCAAAAGGAAAATAATAAATAGATGAAGTGCACAGGAACTTAAATTCTGTGATTCTGAAGTGTAGATTTCATGTGCCTTTTGTGTTATTAATTTGAAGACTGTAAGACCCACCAAAAATGGCACTAGAATTGGGGATCAGGAGATACTATTGAGAGTCCAGAATGTCTTTTAGCAGGCTTTTGACTTGTTTAAACTCCCTCTTTGCAGCCTCGACCTCAAATCTGTCCCTCTTTTCTCATGTTTTCTTCCACCCGTCAAGGAGACATAAACTAGGTTTCCCAGGGTGCTTATTTTTTTAAAAGATGGAGCAAGGTTGTGCTAGGTAGCAACAGGAATTTACCACCAGTAATTAAAAGATGAGTATTCTCTTCATTTTTGGCAGGTTAATAGTAGTAGCAGACATGAATTGAACTAAGACTTTAAAACTCAGCCATCTGAAACAAGAAAGCTCAGGAGAAATGTGCCAGGTAGCTGACATGATAGGACACCTGATTGGGTGCCTGGCTATAAATACTGCTTGTGATGTGGTTTGCACAAGCTTCATTTTTAGTATCCCTTTACCATGGACACAGTGTTCCTTTCAAGCAGCCACCAGGCAAAGGGAGTTGAGGTCAGCAGAGCAGATGGGTGCTCTGCCCTCAGGCACTGCTGCCAGCTCTGCTCTTTGGCAAAGGGGTGGAGGGAGGAACTGGCACACTTCACCCTTGTCATGTGTTCTAAGATCAAAATATTCCCAAATTCAGGTTTGGCAGAAGCTGAGCAGATTTGATAGGGATTTCACTTACTTTTCAGATTTCAAGGTCTAGTGCTATTGTTTGGGTAGTGACAGAGATCAGAGCAAATCCTTATGCCAGACTTACCTAGTCTGGGATCTCCCCAGAGTTTGGATGTGTTCTTAGAAGGATGGTTGTAGTTCAAGCTCATCTGCTTTCTGTGAAGAGTGGTGTACAGCTCAGTTCTGGGAAGAATCTCAGCAGAGGAGAGGCCTGTTTTGACACATACATGTTGAAGAAGCAGAGAGTATGAACAAGAAAATGCTTTGTTTCAGGGGTGGGTCAACACAGGCTCATAAAAAACTAAAAGCCAAACTTTTCCAAGCAAGACTAGATATGCCAAAATATCACAGGAGGAGCTGCTGGTGGAATAGTTCCAGCCCAGCTGGAAATATTTGAGATCACAGTAGAAAATTAAGAATGATTCCAAAAACTGTCTTCCTGATCTTACTCCCAGTGGAGCTGATTTCATGATTTACAAAGCCAGAGGAGATAGATAGACTGAACAGTCATGACTGAGTATTCAGTGTTGCTACTCAGTATCTGGAACATATTTAGATGTTGTAGCTATGGGTTAGACCTCCTTTGTGGTACATACACAGAACCCAGGAGTGGTGGTCCTTGGCCCAGAATTTTTAAACAGGAACCAAATACAGACCCATACAGATCTCTTTGACTAGGAATCATCCAGAATGACACTGAACACATATGGCTGATGGAGTTGAAAGATCCGTAATTTCAGTTAAAAATCTGTTTGTTTTATGTCATTGTTGGGAGGATTACATTACATTCATGAGTCTGCTTTCCTTCAGGGTAGATTCCCACTCACCACTTGTGGCTGAGAAAGCTCTTGAAGTAGGAACCATCCACTTCTCTGTACAACACTGAGCTCAACAGGTCCCAGCCCTGCATTTAGGACTTCTGGTTGCTGCAGTCTCAGTTAATAAGGAATCGTGCTCATATACTATTATGAAGTAAAGGGTTAAAACTGAATTTGAAAATAAAAGACTGTGGGGTAGAGTAGAATAATCTATTTTTTTTGTCATTGTAATAGGAAAGGGTTTTTTTTCCATTTAAAGTACCAGAGAAATACAATTCAGCCTGTGTGAGTTCTACAATGAAGTTTTTCTTCCAAGTTTGCTGTGATTGTTACAGGAGAGGATTCCATACCAAACTATTAAATGCTGGCTATTGTTTCTGGAGATTGCTGTGTTCTTGTTTTAACTTTCACCTTCTTCTCCTATTCACTGCTTTCTTACGTGTCCCTTTGCTGATCACAGGTGCCGGTGCTGACTTTGTCATGATTGGAGGAATGTTTGCAGGCCATGACCAGAGTGCTGGAGACATTATAGAAAAGAATGGCAAGAAGGTGAAACTATTCTACGGAATGAGCTCTGATACAGCCATGAAGAAGCATGCAGGAGGGGTTGCTGAATACAGGTATGAATTCCACACAGGAGCAATTGCAGTGAGCCATCCATCCAGGAATGTTTGGAGCAGAATTGTGCAGAAGGAAACAGGCCTATGCTGCTGCTCCCGTTGAAGAAGCTGTTGCCTACACTTATAACAGCAGATCAGAGAGAAGGATGACATCCAGAGGGAGACAGGGAGAAAGAGCTGGGGTTGGCTAGCTGAGACCAGTGATGTTCACTCATTTGCAGCTGGTGTGGTGTGCTGTCAGTGCAGCACCGGCAGTGTGGTCTGGGAAGTCATTAGGCACTCTTCTGACTTACTCCTCCTTCAGGATGTGTATAAACTAAATGCTGAAATATGACATACGAGGCTGCAGTTTCTGTCCCTCTGCCTTGTCCACATTGGGTGTCTTGGTGTAGAGATTCCCAGATAACCCATATGCTCCCTTCTGCTTGCAGAAGGTGGGTGCTGGTGAACTGGTAAAGCTCAGCTGGGATTTCCCCAGTACAAAGATGATGGCTCAGGACCTCCAAAGCACTCAGTCACCAGCAGCAGCTCTGGGACTCCCTTCTGCATTTGTTGGGCAGTCTTCTTAGACAGCAGAAACCTGCTGTACAGTTTTCCCACCTGTCTTTTGGTAACAAAGCACCAGAGTAGCCTCAAATAATGCAGAATGCAAAAGCTTAATTTTTGAGCTAAATCCTCAGGGGAAAGGAAAGGAAGACAGATTTTGCAAAGGAATCTGTTGTCCATGCTATTTTATTCTGGAAAACACTGAGAATTTTGACTTTTTGGAAAAGCAGATGACATCAAAAAACCTCTGTGTCTTCTCTTATGAGTGGCAGTCTTAGTCACCTTGGACCACATGGTTCTTACATACTATTAGAGAATGACTCCTGTCTTACAGTAAAAAACAGACAAAATGACCTTACCTGCAGTTCCAGCCAGACACTTGGGATTGATGGGTTTTGTTGGCCTCATCTGCTACAACCACTCCAGCATACAGGTTTTTCCCAGCGTGTCCAGCTGGTACCATGGGTAAGAGTTGCAGCTCTGTGAAGGTGACAGGACAAAATGTAAACCAGAATGGGATCCACAAAACAAAATGGAATTCATGCTTTGACACAGAGACAAGCTGATAGATGATAAATAGACAAGCAATCCCAGATGTCATGCTAGATAGAAGGCTCTTCAATCCCACCTCCTGTTCTCCACCCCAGTATTGACTCCTGTGGTGGTTTTTGTCTGCACCATAAAATTGTGCACTTGTTCAGATAGCACTTGGACTACAAAATGGTAAAACTTAGCCTCCTTCAGAGCATTTACAGCCATCTCTTTTGGCCTAAATTGTGGCATCACAGAATCACTTGGGTTGGAAGGGACCTTTACGGTACATCTAGTCCAACCTCCCTATATTGATTAGGGGCATCTTGAACTATATCAGGTTGCTCAGAGCCCTGTCCAGCTTGGCCTTGAGTGTTTCCAGGCATGGGGCATCCATCAGGTCTCTGGGCAACCTGTTCAGTGTTTTTGCTTTCAGAGACAACTGCTTATTTGCAGAAGAGCTGCACAGGATATCACCTGCATCTGAGACGAGCTGAAATTATGCACCAGAAAGATATTCTTGCATATCTCTGAACTTTGATTAACTTTGGGTTCATATGCCACTTCCCAGAAACAGTGTACAGTTTGGGGGCTCTCTTTTTTTTTTTTGTCTCCCAATAAGTCTGCTTGTCATCAAAGCCTCTGAACAAATGGTCTGAGTGGAAAGCACTAGTAAGTGTCTCATAACGTCTTGTAATGTAAAAGTGGCAGCTGCCAATTGCACGGTGCTGCTTTTACCTGAATGATCATTTCCTGTCCTGTGCTACCCTGTGCTTGAGTCAGCTGAGTGTGGGAAATGCCTGATGATGCTCATGCATGTAGTTAATGGCAGCTCCCTGAAAGATTACAGAGCAGGCCAAGCATGCATGGATCTCAGCACACCACAGTCATTAGGGCCTGGCCTCCAGAGAGCTGGTGAAAGTTGCAGGAAGAGTTTGAGAAAGGTGACTCTACCATAGGGACAAAGGACTAAGGCAGCTCTTAAATTCTGTTCAATCTAGTTAGGTGTGTATGAAAAACATCTCCAGCAGGAGAGCTAATTGACACTGGTCCCTCTTAAAATGAGATAAAGTGCAAGTATCCCATCTTGTAGGAACAAAGGATGTACAGAAAGGTGCTGTATTTGGCTCAATCTAGACAGACCTGTTGAAGTCATTATGAGCAATACATTATACAAATTTGGCTTGATCCATAGCTGTATTTTGATTTGCATCCTCGATTTGAGAAATCCCTGCAGACCAGGTTCTGACACTTTCTCAGCAGGAAGGGAGCCGGAACGTAATCTGAAATTTTTAGTCCCTGTTGAGATACTACATTTCTGAGCCACTAATAGGTAGCATAGAAGGAGTCTCCCAGTCTACTGCTAGATACAACAGCTCCAAACACTAAATCTGTGAGCTCTGACTCTTAACTAGGAAAGTGCTGATACCCATCTTCACTCTACAGCCATGACACAGAGCTGGCTACCTGTACCAGCCTTGGGCTTGGTCTTCCTTGGCCTGTCCCAGCACAAGTGTCACTGTAGTTTAAAAATAGCAGCTGCTACATCCAGTATTGTAAATGTGCTGGGCGTTGAAAGGGGGATTTGAAATAGCACAAGGTTTTCTTTGAATTGCTCTTAAAGTAAAAGTTACAGGAAGTTTTATCACTTCCTAGTTTAGCTGATGACAATCTTGAAGCAAAAAGGTTCTTATTCAGCATTTTAAATGCTGGATACCCCAGACTTGACCCAAACAGGTCAAGTCAGTGGGGCTACTTTATATGCATTTAAAAAGCCCAGCTGTAAGTCTGTATTGGTGACCCAAATAAGCTGTTTTGTCTTTTAAAAGAGCCTGAATACTCATAATGTGTTATTCGAGCAGTGGGGAGCTCTGTGTGCTCAGTCCCCTGCAAATCATTCTGCTTGTCACTTAACTTCATCTTCTCAAAATTACACATGTTGGCCGGAGAACCTGAGCCTGCAGCAGTTACATTAAAACTGACAGATAAGGTGAGATGGCTGTAGGAGGGAATAAAGTCATGAGAGTAATTGTTTTTGTAATGAATATGTCAAGCTGATCCTATTTAATTTGTGTACTCACTTTCATTAATCTTATGTCATTTATATATTGGCTTATTTTCACATTTTCACCTCCTTTCATGAGGAATATGGATCAGAGCTGGGGATTTCTGAAAGGCAATTTTTATGTTTCTTTTGTGGGAGAAGAGAAATAAGGCAAGCAGGGACTGAGGCGGCATGCAGTATTGTTCAGTTGGAGCCAATTTGTTTTTGTTAACCCTTTTGAAATTTCACACGTTTTGTGTGAACACTGCAGTTCTATTGTGGCCACTCAGCAATTCACAGCTGCTACTAGGCTGGGTTTGGGCACTTTATATTAACTTTAGGGTGAAATTTTGGCCACAGAGGCAGAATAGCACCAACTGCTGGCTGCTGCTTACCACCTTGTGTATATCAAATGATAGCCTGGAAGGCCTGCCCCCAGTTCCTCCATTTCTTAAACGTCCCACTTAAAAGATGCTTCATGCCACGGCAGCCCTTTATTTGACCCACATTTTGCTGGGCTGGCAAAGCACCACATGTGGTTCATCCCATCCAGCCTGCCAGGATTCCCACCCACCAGACACATCTCTCCATGCAGCAGCCTTCAGCTGGCCAGGAGGGGCACCGCAGACCGGGCCCTGTGCAAAAAGTCTGAAGCAAATCATTCTCCTTTTCTATTCAGTGGCTGGCAAGAGTCAGAGTTACTGCTGAGAGCATCTGAGCACACCTTTCCCAGCCGCTGGGAGCCTCAATTGCTCTGTCATCACCTTTTCTTTCTGAGAAGGGGTTACTTTTGGGTCATAACTCCAGGAGAGATGTCAGAGCTGCAAAACCCTCAGCAGTTCCTGCTGACTTGCTTATGCAGCTCTCTGCCAAGTGTGCCAGCTTTTGTGACAGCCCGTGTAATCCATTGTCATGGTTTATCCCGGCAGGCAGCTAAACACCACACAGGCACTCACTCACTCCATCCCCCACTGGGATGGGAGAGAGAACTGGGAAAAAACCAGCAAAATTCATGGGTTGAGGTAAAGACCACTTAGTAGGATAGAAAGGGAAGGGATAATAATAACAGCAATAATAATACACAAAAGTTATACAAAATTTTTCACCACTTCCTATCTAATGCCCAGCCAGTTCCTGAGCAGTGGCCCCAGTCAACTTTACCCCTTGGCTTATATATTGAGCATGTTGCCAAATGGTATGGAGTGTCGCTTTAGCCAGTTAGGATCAGCTGTCCTGGCTGTGTCCCATCCCCATGTCTTGTGCCCCCCAGCCTACTTGCTGGTGGGGTGGTGTGAGGAAAAGGAAAGTCCTTCACTTACAGTAAGCACAACTTGGCAATAACTAAAACACTAGTGTGTTGTCAACACTGAGGGCTGTCCACAGGACACAGTTGCTTTACAGCTGTCCCTGTTCTGGCATGAGTCACACAGGGACTACAGTCCCTTTGGGAGTGCACACCTTTGGCATGGACCACCTCCTTTCAAGGGTGTCTCTAGCTGCACGTCTCCTCAGGTATGTCCAGGTGTGTCTCCTCTCCCAGTGGCCACTGCTGTTTCATAAATACAACACTGGAGCAGAGGTGTCATGTGCTCCTGTGACTTGCTTAAAGTTTGGTAGCTCACACCTGTTTTGGAGCCAGGTGGAACCATCTTTGGCATGATGCAAGTCATGGCCTTCTCCCACACAGGTCATACAGGACCCCCGTATCACCTGAACCCTACTATGTTTGCCCAGCACAGCACCCGTGTGGGTGCTGGTGGAAGTCAGCTGGGTGCTCATCACATTGGGCACTCATGAATCTACTAACAGGGTGTTTGGACATAAATAATTTGGGCATACATGCATGAAGTGATTGGATGCTTATGCAAAAATTATTGGCCATTCATGCATGAATTAATTGGGCACTCATGCATTAATTTATTCAGTGTTCTTGCATGAACTAATTTGGCACTCACACAAGAACACAGCAAGCCCAGCAATTTATGGCCTGTACGTCACTCCTCGGCAAGGCGTATTGGGGAACTCTCAGAACGTTAATCCAGTATGAGCATTTTGGACATCATTGCAGTCTTAATGTACATAAGTTAAAATCACAATTTTTCCTCCCTTTGGACCAGCCACTGGGGATTAATACTGTAGCAGTACACTCACTAAATGTCTCCTCTACATCCTAGGCAGTGTTAAAGGGGTTAACATTTGATTATATACCCATATGGATACAGGTCCCACGCCTGGACCAGACTAAAGCAGTTAATAGTGCACCAGTGTGTGCATACATGTAGTAAAATTCCACCCACACTTCCCTGGGAACCAGATGACTCCTCAGCTCAGTCTGAGCAACATGTTATCTCTTCAAAATTCTTTCCTCTGGGGACAAGATTGTTTGGGTTAATGTTAGCACAGCTTGAGTATATATTCATCAGAAAATTCATCTCCTTATCCCTGTGGACAAGGCTGTGCAACTAATCTCACACCTCTCTTCTACTGTCCTTTCCCCAGTACAGGATCTGCAGGTTATTCCTTGATCAACAGGACATCCCGCCAGCTCATCAGCTGACACTCTGAGGAGCAGTAGCAAGTGTTCAGCTGTCAGAGCTCTGGGGCTGTGTCATTAGGTGTTCACCGCTTTTGTAGATCTTTGTCTCCAAAGCCTAAAGTGGCAACCCACAAGCTTCAGCTTCCTAACACCACTGCAGCCACTGCAAGGACATGTCCCAGGGGCAGTGGCTGTAACTGTCACCTCTTTCTGTAATTTTTCACTGAAAAAAGGACCACCAAGTGTTCATGCTTGTAGGAGCAATGTACAACTTATGACCCACAAGGATGCTCAAGCACGAATTAACAGGTACTTTGCATTTGAACTGATGGTGCTTTCATGCATCATTTGTGCATAATTGACCTCTCATGCATGAACTGAATGGGTGGTCGTGCACAAATGCAGTAGACCCTGCACTTCTTGCTCCATGCCCAGAACAGCATGCGGAGCTCTTCAGGTGGCAGGATGTAGTAAAATTCGCACTGGTTTCCACAACTCCCAGACATGCACTGTCTTTCACAATCTCACAGGAAGCTCCCTGTGAGCTCAACCGCTCAACTTTGACTGGAAGAGATGGGCATGGCCAAAAGCCAGGAGCAGTGGCGTGTCATTTCATGGGTCCAACTTTTTCTTGCTGGCACTGAAGCCAAAAATAAAAGCCTGGGAATTCCCAGTATCACAGGCCACACAACAGACCCCTAAGCCCTCTGTGGTCTGTGAGATGCCAGTGGCACATCCATCTTCAACTGGCCACTCACTGCAGTGTTTAAGAGTTTCAAGAAAGAGTCAATTACTCATCAGATATAGGGAGAGATTAATCGTGATTCCTTACTCACATGGCTTATCAACACTTTGCCTTTATTGTCTCCCTAGGGCTGTGACCTCTCATTTAAACTAACAGGATGAAATATAGCCAGGCTCACACTGAAGCACCTCCACATAGCAGCTGTTGCTGTTGTTAATGATTCACAAATGGAGCCCACAAGTAGGCATGCTCTTTCTCATACTATCCCCTGGAAACTTTTTTAAGGAAGAAGCAAATAAAGCGACATTTAGAACAATGCCAGACCACTGCCATGATTTCTGCCTCCATTTTGTTAGGCAGAAAGAAAGCAAGGCTTGCCTTTCCAGAGGAGCCAGTGTGCCAGGCAGAACAAGCTTACTCTAAAGTGTAGTGAGATCAGCTGCTGATTAAGGGTGTCTGCTACAGGAGGGATTGCTGAACATGGGGCTGGAGAAAGCTGGAGGAGGAGTGCAAGTTTTTTGCTTGGATTCTTCCATCGTGTAACTCCTCAGATATGCTTTTTGGGAACAGTGCAGTCTGTGCTGGCATGCACCACCACTCGACAGTATTCAGAGCACTGGTATTTTTCTGGCCTTTGCCTGGCACTGAATTTTGCTAGATCACCTTTTAGCTTCAAGGGACAGCTGTGCAGCAGGTTTCTGTAACAGGTTTCCCACTCTCTCTCTGTGAGCTCTGGAGAATCGCACTGGTAGGAGACAGCCAGAGCACTTCCATATGTGTCTGATTGGTGACGTGGCCAGAGCCCAGGGGCTGTGAAGCCTCTGTAGAGCTGTGCTGGATGGTGCCTGCTGAGAACCAGCTCCAATATTTCTCTGTTTGAGTCTGGCCATTCCTTATACTTTAAAGCTTTCAGCTCTCACAGTCAAATTCACCTTTCAATAAAGCTGGAAGTCCCACTTGCTTGTAGGCAGATGGTAGAGGGGACGAAAGGGCAGATCTGTAAATAAACTCATGGGATATTGGAGCGTCTACAAGATCTGTCTGCTTCTGCTTCTCAGTGTTGGTGGTGAGTGGAGCTAGGGCGTTTCAGTGCTTGAGAGCACCAAGCAGCAAGCAGTAAAGCTGGGGGCACGTTTGTAAACTGCAGCCTGCAGAGTTAAGCTCCACATTGCTCCATTAAACACACTCATGTTTTGCATCCCGATGTGAATGCAGTGACTGATCTCTTCTCCAGGGCTTCAGAGGGCAAGACTGTGGAGGTACCATACAAAGGGGATGTGGAACACACCATCCTGGACATCCTCGGGGGGCTGCGCTCCACCTGCACCTACGTGGGAGCTGCCAAACTCAAGGAACTGAGCAAGAGAACGACGTTCATCCGGGTCACCCAGCAGTACAACGAGGTCTTCTCCTAGCCTAGGCCTGGGGGGCTGGAGAGAGGGGCAGGGGAGAAGAGCAGGAAGGACTGCTCTTTTCCTTTGCTTTCTCCTCCGTGTTGTGTTAGTGGCAAACTTCCCTCTCAGAATGGCAGTGTCATAGCCATTGACTATGGCTGGGATTTGGAAGGGGAAGGTCATGCTATTAACACAGTGCCGTTGATTCAAAATGCAATAGCCTCATCTTTATTGTTGTGCCTATTTTATTTTTTAATCAACGTTTCTTCACCTGTTTTTTTTCCCCTCTGATAAATAGCTGCTGAAACCTCAGTTAACAAGGAATTGGCTTGTACAGACATGGCTGTTAACGCCTGCACACGTTCACACATTCCCTTTTTAAGACTGACCTGTCAGCTACCTCCACTTTCTGGCAGTGCACCTTTCAGAAATTGCAGGCTGGGAGAGAAAAAGGTGCAAGGAATTGCATGGAGAAATCAAATTCTCTTAATCTTTTTTCTGGCCAAAGAATAGATGTTATGGCACAGCTGCCAGCCTGCAAAATGTCAGAGGTGGATGGTAAATGAGGCCTGGCTGCTGGTGACATGCTAAAATTGCCAGATCTCTGTCACTTTCAGTTCACAGGGCTGATGTTGCTGTTGTTACTTAAACCTTCCTATTCAATGGACTTGCCCCTTCAGAGAAGCTGGCACTGAATGTAACAAAACCGTGCTGGCCCCCCTGCCCCCATCTGAGGAGATCATTCAGGTGAACACTTTTCAGAGCTTGCCTGCTTTATCATGAGTGCAGTTACTGAATTACATGGATTCCTGCTTTTACTTGCTCTCTGGGAGCAGGTTCTTAAGACATTGAAACTCAGCAACTGACAAGGGGGGACGATTCTTGCGGTCCTCCCTGTTCCCTTGCCTGCTCACATCCATTTAGCAAAGATGTAAAAAATGCTGTGCAGTGCATTGTCTGTGGCCAGGTAGAGGAGGCCAGAGGGATCAAATTGCTTTCTGGTTATGTGGTACCACTCCTTTGCAGTCCTTGACATCATGTAAAGCAAGAGAGAGTTTTTGGCAGAACAGCCTGATTGATTGCAAGACACTGTCAGGCAATGGAGTTAAAGCATTTGCTCTAAAGGTAGTAATGAATGTTTGAGACTCTGGGTAACACTTCAGTAAAGTGTAATGGCCTTATAATTAATTGATAAATCACAATGAAAATGTGGAAATATGTGTATTTGGAAATACATGTTGCATCCACATGAATACCGCAGTAGCTCGATGCGATAAATGATGCAAAAGTGAGCACCAATGAATTAATAATGCTTGACCACTTACTTTAAACTGCTGCTGAGATCATAATGCGGCTGATGATACTTCAGTACTTCAGAGTCTTACTTTCCTCTCCTATAGACATCTCTAGAAAGAGGCAGGCTTCCTTTGAAAAGCAAAAGGGTGATCTGTAGGAAAAGGAATAGCAAAGAGAAACTCTAGAATTAAACTCATATGCTGGACTGCTCAAAAAGCCAATCACAAGGACTGGTACAATGCTGATCACTGGTGATTTTTAAGTGTGTTGTGCCCATTAGAAAAAGCACAGGATATCTTCTAAATTGCCTGGTATTTTAAATGTCTTCCATTTAACACGTAGGATGTACTTCTTAATTGTGGGATGACCCCTTCCTCTGCTTTGGAAGTGGATGAGGCCTTGATGTGAGTACAGGTTATGCTTGTGCTGGCTGCAAGGACCATTTGTCCTGCCCACATATCATAAAGGAATGTGAATGCAGAAGAGAAGCAGGCTCTGTGAATCCAGGCCCTGATCTCTGTTCCCTCCAGCCTGGAAGCATCATGTTAAGAGAATGCCAGGCTGCCTCGCCACAGAAAGGCGCCGTGGGCCACCTACTGCTCTCAGCTCACTAGGCCCAGAGCAGGGGCAACATGACCTCTCTGCACCAGTACAGCTGTGGGACAGCACTGTTCCTCTTTTTATGTGCTGTAAGGGGGAAGCAAATGGACACCTCTTGTCAGGAGTGGGGTTAGACCACCACGGCCCAGGCCTGACCACAGGTGTGTCTCCACACTGGTGCCTTCACACGTGGGAAGTGCAGCACTCTGCTGGTCTCATGCCCACTCTCAATAGCGCTTTTCTACTTTTTTTTAGCTACATTTCTAAGTGGAATTTAAGAAATACATATGCATATAAAAAGATATATATTTGTAAACATTTTTTTTTTTTAAAGATCATGCACACACCAAACCGAGCAGCTTCATGATGGCCTCAGAACATTTTCTTTTCCGAAGGGCAGGTGCTGGGGGCAAGGGGAGGCTGCTTCTCCACAAGTGTGGCAAATGGAGCTGTTCTTAAGTTGTCCCCCAAATTCTTCAGGCTGTGAATGATGCCATGAATGGTGACTGATAAAGTTTTGATATTAGGTATATTGTTTTGATATGCAGGATGTTTTCTTTCATTTTCTTCTCTCCAAAAGTGAGCAGGAAAGACAAATGAGATGCAGAAAGGCTGAACCGGTAGCATGTCTGCATCTCACCCAGTTATATGTGAGTTTTGTTCAGGAATAACCCTCAGCTATGTCAGTGCCAACCATTGACACTGTACATATACAGCTCTGAGACAGGCTGGAAAATAAATTTTAAAAAACCCTAAAAACTTAAAAAAGAAAAGGGTACTTGAGTCCCCCTTCCTGTGCTGCAGTCATTGCCCTGATCTTCACTTAGCTCCAGGTTCTGTACCCTGCTCAAGCCTGCTGCCACTCCCACAAGGAACTGAGGCAGAGGAAGCCAGGAATACACTTTGGCAGGATGGTCCAAGTCAAGACCACAACCACTGACAATGCCATGTGCCATTTGTGGATCTACCTCACCTGCGCATCTAACTGGGTTCTTTGTTATTTGGTGTGCTTTTGTGGGAAATGAAATTTGTAAGTGCTTAATAATGCTTAGTGTTGAGTGATTCTGCATAACCAGGTTTTCTCTAACCCTACACCCCAACCCCATCCTCTGTCCAGAGGAATATTATGAGTGTGACAGCCTGTACTGGCTGCCCAGGGCCATGCCTGTTTCCCCCAGCCAGGCAATTGTTGAGCTCCCAAAAGCAGTGTTGAGGTTCCCACTGGCTCCACAGGGATGCAGTTTAGCATACCAAAGACCTACAAGTGGGGATGCTGAAAAGGGCAACATTACATCAATAAGCAATCCCCGCTGAGCATGTCTGCCTTTGGCTTCTTGAAACATAAGGATGCCTCTAACACCCCTGGTGCTCCCAGTCCTGCTCTGGGGTTGCTGCAGCACATTGTGCAGGGTGGGCTTCTGCCCACAGAGCCTGGTTACTGGAACTCTCCTTGGAGAGGAAGGGCTCAGCACAGGAGAGGCCTTGCTTACTCCCCAGTAACTCTGTGGTGGCTGTGAGGAGTGCACCATGCACATGGACACCTACTGTAGGTGTAAGCCATTGATAAAGGGGTAGGCCTTGAGCCAGCATCCTGACAGATGCAAAACAAACCATGCAGGTCTCCATTCTCTGGGAGAAACACATTCCCATCTGCTCATTGGAATAGCCAGTCCCCACTGGCACTGGGGCAGGGGCTTTGGCTGTGCTTTCCTCTCCCTTAGGGTATGGTGGGGTTGAATGTAGAATGGGGACACCCTGTATATATGGAGAGTTGTAAGCAGGATCAGAAGAAGCCTCTGTTTGCCTTTGGGTAAGTTTTCCCATATGAAATGTGCCTGTCTCTTCTTTCAGCTAACAGGGGTAGAAAGGATGGGGATAAGGAAGAAATGTGGCAGCTGTTGGCCAAGTCCCATGGTGTTGGGACAGGTTTTCAGTCAAGGACATGATGAGAGTTTGAAGCTTTTCTGAACCAAGCACTCCCTAGTTTATACCTGTTGAATTCTACTCTCATGCCAGACTTGTTGCTGCAGCTGCCACCGTATGTAGTGTCTATCCATCACCATCTCACGTCCTCCACCAGGGGATGGTGCTGTTTAGTTGCTGATACCAGTTTTACACCAAAAATTCTTTTTTGGAGCCAGGAGGGCTTTTGCAACCAGTGCCAGGTTTGGCCTTGTGTAGATGAGAGGGGAGGAAGTGAGGCCCAATACCAGCAGTTTGCCCTCGCAGCAGCCAGGGCCAGCCGGTGGGAGAGGGCCAGCCCTTCCCTGCGGGCTGGGAGCTGCCAGGGGCAGCAGCATTGAAGCATGTCTTGAGTAGAGCTGGCACAGCTCTGTACTCAGGAGAGACCACCCCCTGCAGCCTTAGCTTCATTTGTGGTCACACAGATGCTTAAGCGAGCCCTCCCCAACATTTATTTGACCCAGTGTTTGCTGACTAAAGTTTTCATATATAAATCAGCAGTTTGGAGTCCAGAACTCCCTGACATTGCCTGTGATAACTGTGAAGCGCTTCTGTGTCATTGGCCAAAAGCTGATGGGTTTTCAGTGTTTTGCTGCCCTGCTTGGCCCTGCTGAGATGGTGATGAGAGCGCTGCCCCCCTTCCCTCTGCTGTGGCATCCCTGTGTGCACTACCCAATCATCCCAACTGCTCCCAAGTTTTTGTTATGCAATAAAGAGCTTCACTCTGACGGGCTGCAGAGAGTTTTATGGCCGTGGGTGGGACGGTACGGGCGCCTTTCAGAATCGTTGCTAATAAAAGCCAATGCTCTCAGATGCATTGCAAGGGTGGGGCAGGGAATTAAACTGGGTAAATTATGTCCCTAGGAAAGTTCTCTCCCCTTCAGTCATAAAAGACAAAACACGCGTTTGCAATTGGCACTGTTATTTTATTAGTACGAGTATACTGAAACAATAAACTTGTACTGGTATACAGACAATTTCTTTAAAACAATTTTGTTCAAATTTTGAATCAAACATTGTTTTATTATAATAATGAAATAATTTCTACCTAGAAAACCTGCAAGCACCATCAAAGAAAGGGACCATAAAATTCAATAAACAGACGCGAGTGTATCCTACAAATAGACACACCACCATTAGAAAATAGAATATGAATTCTTCCATTTTTTTTAATATTTGTTTTAAAAAAGCTAGTGCAAGTACAATATTTTACACTGGAATTACAGAGAGTATGCACGCATATGGAAAAAAGTTCTCCTGTCACAATAAAAGCTCTTAACTATGTCTGTATGCACTTAAAATCTTCTCCTCTTTTCAATAAGGTGCAAAACGTTATTCCCTCCCTATTTTCTCCTTTGTACTGGCCATGTCAGCTCAATTTCTCCCCAACACAAAGCTGCAATATCCCTTTTACTGGGCCTACACTAGGAACTACACTGGAAGTGTGATTTGCAACAACCCTCGTTAGTAATACCAGACAATTTAAAAAAAAAAAAAATTACCTTAAAAACTACTGATGTCAAATGGCTGGACCTGACCCCAGCTTGGCCAAGTGCCACTGCCAGCTGCTGCTGGGAGCGGTGACATAGCTAGTACAAAATGGATTTCAGTAGCTCACCCAAACTGAAAAAGGTTGGGAAATTCCCCCGCCCCCACTTTTGTACACTGCGAAAAGAACAGTGTTCAACAAGTTAATATATTATTAAAAAAAAAAAAAAAGGAGCAAATACATACATTAGTGAGTTTCAACATTAGCTGACTGTCGTGAAGAGTTGCATCTACGCCTTACCAGATTAGTAACTTTGCGAAGCGCCCGGCCTGACGGCCCGGCTGAAGACACAGACCGAGCCACCTGCAGCCACCCCCGGCTCGTTTTTGCCCTCAGCTGCCCAGATCCAAACCCGATGGACTGGAACAAGAATTCTGCAGAGCTTGTTCAACGGGAGAGTACCTGGGTCCTGGACTTTTAAAGGGTGGAATCCCCTCGCCAGTGGGTGTGCAGGGGCAGGCCTGCACTGCCTGCAGAGCCAGTGGTCCCACTCTGGGACCCAATCTGGGCCCTGAAGTTTCTGCCCATCACCAATCCTGTAGTACAGCAAGGACAGCTTCAACAAGTGTCTCCGCTCGCTGCAAACAACACTTCCAATGCACACCTACTGCGTGGTCGAGGGAAAGGGCACAGGAGCTTTAACTGCTCAAAATAGAAACTAACAAAAAAGAAACTACCTTGGATGAAGCCTCCATAAAATCTCAGTGGAAGACTTGAGTCCTTTCAGCTAACAACAAGAAAAAAAAACCTACGGAAACCTTAGAGACTGTTATTGTATAAATACTACCTGTTGGCTGAATGCACTTCACCGTAACACAACTGGGGCTGGTCTCTGAGCACCTGGGGGTCACTTGCACAGGGCGAGCATTCCCACCCCGTGTTCCTGCGGAAGTAGAAACTTGGGTCACCTCCGGGGAGGGGGATGGGAGCACCCTTAAACTTTGCCCTCTCCACCCTGCCACCAGCTCCCAGCTGCCCAGCTCAATCTTTGGAACAGAAAAGGATCCTCTCTTCAGAAACTGCTTCAGGATCCTCTCCTTTTGGCTTCTGGAAAACATCAGTCTTGCCATCAGTCAAGACCATCACTGGAGCCATGCTCTGTGTGACTAGCTGCTCCCGGCGCCCTGGCAGCAGCGGTGGGGGAGAGGGGCAGTGACGGGCTGGAAGGCCGGGTTGCCTCAGGTACCATTCTGCTGCTAGTACTGGGCAAGGACACCTTGTTACAAGCACTTCTAGCTCAGGGTTGTACTCTTTGGATTTCATCTGGAACAGGAAGTGCTGAAAACACATGGAACAGCATCCCCAGAGAGAAAAAAATGGGACCAAAAGGCCTCAGGCAGAAAGTACGCAGGTTGTGCTCTGCCAGCGGCAGCTCTCAACCCGAGGGCTGCCAGCACCAGCAGGGTCCCCAGACTCGGGCCAGCCAGGCCATGCCTGTCCTGGACATGGCCGAGGCCTCCCTCAAAACCGGCCTTGACCTCTGGGCTGCCAGGGGCTCCCTCAGCGCAGGCGGAAGAGACTTAAAGCCAAAATACAACTGGAGAGTGAGACTCTAGTTTTGCACAGTAGCCACCCTTCGAAGTGCCTGGTAGCTGCACTCAAGAATTGCTGCTCCAAGGTGTATTTTCAGCACAGGAATAAACAGTGTGACTCCATTCCCCAGAAATGGGATCCATGTAATACAAACAGAAAATTAAGCACAGTTGTTCTTTAAGAGCCTTTTAAGTAATAATTCTTCCTGGCCAGAGCCAATACAAATCAGATCATCTAGACATGACATTTTCTATATACAAAAAACATGTAACTTTCAACCTTTCTCTGCTTTTGTATTTAAAAACTTTTTTTTTTTTTTTTACAAACAAGGTATGAAACTCACTGTTCAAACAGAGCCATCTCTTTTTCAAACACTGAATGAATCATTCCAACATTCATTTTTCTTTTGTGCAATTTTTTAAAACATTACCTGTACTCCTCAATGTGAGTGCTTCAAAAAAAGTTTCTATTTTTAATAAGCTTCTCAAATTAGGTTTACATCAAAAAATATTCCCACAAGGTATAGTGCTACAAGAAAAGATCCTATCAGTAAAGGTAACACATCTGAAGCGAGGTCGTCTATGTAAAAGAAATTGAACTCTGGAGTAGAGGTGTGCAACGTGTTTGGAATTTCCCTATGGGCACAAAGCAAGGCTGTCCTCAGGACAGGGAATCAAGTGGACATGTAGGCATACACGTAAAAAAAAATGCACACATAACTTCTTTGTGTGCAAACAGACACTTCTGCTTGGGGGTGTGTGTGCACATATGCATATCTGCATCAACAAATTCTCATTTTGCTATGTATTACAAGATTTGGGGGAGTGGGAGGGTTAGAAAAACCAGAGAAAAGGAAATGACTGCCTCCACTCAGGTGGTATGTTCATTCCCCTTGCTTTTCACATCAGCACTGGCCAGAGCCCACAGCGGACTCTGCTGCTACCTGTGATGATGGGGAGGGAAGAAATGGAAACTGTATGAGTGCATATCCCATTCTGCCATTTGTCAAGTTTCTGGGACAGCAGAAGTGTTTCAATGGGCCAAATCAATCCCCTGCACCTGCCCAAGGCTTCTGCCCTGGTGAACCCCGACATTTTCCAGCTGCTGAATTAAGGTCAGGATCTGGCCCTGATTGAACCATGCTTCAATTTCACAAAGATTTATACATGTGCTTTACAGCAAGCCCCTGAGCAGCCTTTGCCAGCCAGCCCAGACCTCCCATGGGGACATGTATAAGTGTTTGCAGAACTGGGTCCCATGACACACAGAGCATTGCACCAAGAGCCACTCTGAAACACTATTAGTGTTTAAAAAGATTGAGAATTTGCTCTCCTTGACACAGGCTTTTTTTTTTTTTTTTTTAAGCAATTGCAAGAATTAACAGAATTCCACCATTTCCTTTTTACTACTGGCAACACACTTTAAAGAAATATAAATCTCTGCAGAGAGTGTATTTTCATGATAACCAACAGCTACAGTTCAAGCTGAGCCTGCTGCTTTTGTATTGCAATCTAAGTGAGATCTACAAAGTTTAAACCATGAGATGCAGGAAATCCAAACTTGTCTGTAACATTGTACATCCCTACTCCGGAGCAGTAAAAGTGCTGCTTCTGGTCACATCAGTGTACCACACATACGCCAGCCCCATCCCTGAGTAAAAGGTGTGAAAGGTTTCTAAATGTTCCTTGATTTAAGGGAAACAAGAGTAGTGATGTCACTTCCCCATGCTGAGAAAATGACGGGGAACGACAGGTCGAACGAAGCGACAGTGGGATGAAGGAATTAAAGGAATGAAAAAAGGAACGTTATGTCCCTCCCCTCCTCCCGAGGTCTGCATCTTCGAGGGAAAGCAAGCCTAAGGGCAAGGTACAAAATGGTAAAATAGGTCAACAGCGACCCTGATTCGGGTCTCAATCAGAGGACTCGAGGTAAGTGACATCAAACTCAAATTCCCCACGATGTGGCCCAGACAAACTGAAACAATGCCTAAGTTAAACGCTATAAGGAACAGTCACTTTATATATATAGATATATAGATAGATGATAGATAGATAGATAGATAGATAGATAGATAGATAGATAGACAGACAAATAGATTTATTTATTTTTTTTTTTTAGAAATCCCTATAAAGAGGTTCTTGTTTTATTTTTCTTTGCCCTGACTAATTTCTTGGTGATTGTATGTATTTCGTTGTAAACTAAAGAGGCCTGCTACAGAAGGAAAGAAACAAACAGACAAAAAGAAAACTGCTGTTAGTTACTATTGCAAAGCGGCAGCCACGCAGAGCGGAGGCCAAGCCTCATCCTTTGGCTTCACCTCAGCATCCCCGTGCTTGCACTGGTGTTTTGCACCTGCCCTGTGGATCGATGGCACTCCTGGGGCTGCACTGCAAGGGATGCTCAGTGCCAGAGGGAGAGGCAAAGCCCCGCCTTACAAAGGACTTGGCCCCGGTGGGAGCCAGCTCCTGCAGGCGTGTGTCCAGGCGGAATGTGGCACTAGGCCATATGGTTGAGTGCCACCCTCTGCCTGGATGCCATGTAGACATGAATACATCTCTTTTTTTCTTTTTTTTTTTTTTTATTCCTGGATCTCTTTAAACAACAAATACGAAAAGGGTTCATGTTTCCCGGGGCAAGGGATCTTCTATCCTTAATATGGTGTGTGCTTTTTGGAGGGGGGAGGATGGGGAGGGACTTATTAATGGTGGGTGGTTGGCAGGGAGAAAGGTAGAAAGAAAGAATTCAAAAGAGACAAAACCAGGGGAAATCAGAAGTGGATATGAGATCTAGCTAACACCGCACAGGTGAGTCTAAGTTGGCACGTAAAGTATTGCACATCCTACAAAAGCTAAAGCATGGAAGGGGACAAATGTTTGGAAAGAACCAGTTATTTCAGAATTCCTCAGTCTGAAATACAAGCACAGAACTAATACATTCCTATTGCTCCAAATGTATTTTTTATTATTATTTTTTTTATTTTTTTAGTGTTAGTTGAATAGATCCAGTCAGTTTAATAGCCCCTGCTTCCTTATTAACCACAAGTATGTATGTGTATGGTTTTACTTGAGATTTCTTTTTTTCCAAGTACACGTGAAGTACAGAAATAGTGGTACGACTGTGAACTAAAATCTGTAATTCTTTCTATTCCTTTACCATCAAAGCTTTAAAAAAAAAAAATACAGGAAACAAAACAAAACAATAAATTGCAAGTGCCCTGAGCAGAGTATATGGAAGATTAAGCAACTTCTCTGAGCAGAAATATTAACAAATAAGCACTAACTAAGCTGTGTGATTGTGAGAAGAAACCCACTCAGCTATTTGGTAGCCCGCTGAGAGGTTAATAAAATTCAAGGAAATTAAAAAAAAAAGTTTCAAGCTATTTTAAACATATTTCAACTTTTTGGTGCACCCCAGAATATGGTATAAAAACAATTAGGTCTGGTGTGAGCTAAATTTCAAGTAACAAGTAACAAGAGTCAAAGATGGGGTTTGGGGTTAACATTTCTTCTCTTAAAGAAAAGCACTGTATTTCAGGGGAGAGGGAAAACAAGACTTTAAATAAATTTGTTCACTTTAGGTTATTGTGTTTCTAATGACAGACTTTGATTTCCTGTTCTCCCTGTGAGTACAGCTTCTTCAAAACTACCTGAAGGATGTGAACTCGCCAACCAAAAACGACGACACGAACGCTTGCTCACGGAGGGCCCGAGCGCGATCCCACTGGAATCCCGCTGGGATCTTTCAAGAGGCAGCGACAGGTTTTAGCACTCAGCCCCAACATACTTCATACTCACACCTCCCCAAGGCTCGTGCAGGGGGCTGGGTGCACAGCACCGCAGAGGATCCGGCCCTACCTGGGGAAAGAAAAGACTGAACGCGTGAATCCCCCCGCTCCTACTTGGTTTGTACCAAACTCTTGAAATGTCGCCTTTCCAATGGAAAACGATGCAATTAAAATAACAAATAATAATAATAATAATAATAACAATAATAATAACAATAGGTTTGTTTTCAAAACAAACAAACACCTTGCTTACTTATAGAAATGGGTTTTTTTTTTCTGGAAAACTCTCTCAGCAAGTCTGAAGAAAAATTCTCAGAGGTGTCCTGGTAGGACCTGGTTCTGTGTGGCCGATACGGTAGAAAGACCGAAAATGAACTCTGAAAGGAACATAACCCTATGAAATGGCCTAGAGCGTAGGCAGGTTAGTGAGTAATTGCTACATTTGTTTATGCTCTTTCAGACCCCCCCCACCCCACAACATTATTAGGTAAAAACTGCAGGAATACCACACAAATGATAAACTCAAGATGTGCAAATTGCAAGATTCTTTAAAGTCCATCTTTTTCAAAAACACTGGACAATGATTTTTTTTCCTCTTTCCTTTTTCCTTTCTCTTATTTTTTTTTTTTTTATTATGTCAGCTCGCATATGCCTTTAACTCTTTCTCAAGCATTAAAGTTTAAAAAGTGCCTCCTATTAAGTAGTCCTTTGTGGACAATGACTGTCACATACTAGTTCAATAATTCACATTCATCCCTTTGAAACCACATTAAAACTTTCAGCATCTTGCCTGTGAGAAAACTTTACATAGTTGCATGTAGTTACAGTGTTGAAGAGATTTGTTTGTTGTTGTTGCTTTCTGAGCAGATTAAAGTGATATACAGTACGTACTGAGTGTTAGACCAGGATGCTCAGCAATAAAGTGTGAACAGCATTTTAAGTGCTTAAAGACATTCTAGGTTCATCTTCAACAGCGGATTCCTGTGTCACACACCGCAATTTGAAAAAAGTGGCACCAGTTGTCCATAACCATGAACTAAAACCAGTACTAGAGTTAAAGACAAAGATTTGCAACCTAACTGCAAACGATGGATGCCTGTGATCTCAAAGGGGCAGTCTGCGTCTACCTTGTGGAAGCAAATGTCAATGGCGTAACCCGGTCAATTTGTCTAACACTGCACAGAAACAGGAGTGAGCCTGAGCCAGGCGCATCCACAGAGCCAGAGGCCTCCTCGCACACCCACGCACACCCACGCCACACGCACGCACCCACCCCCCCGCTGTCAAGGGAAACCCTGCAGGGCGACCTGCGCGAGAGTCCGTACAGCCTCGCCGTCGCTGACTCCGGGCAATGGAACTGCACTAGCAAGCAGAAAGGAAATGTGGTGTGGCAGTTTGCTTTAGGAATAAAAATCAGTGCAGTCAGACCCCATGGGGGAAAAATATATATATACATATACACACACACAAATATATATATATATATGTATATATATATATATATATGTATAGTAGAGCCTTGAGTAAGAGTTGGCTTGTTGAAAACATCAGAGACTGTCTGATCCTTTTCAGTAACACACCCAAGGGCTGTGTCCTCAGCATCCACCTGGAATGAGGAAACCTCATCACCAACCCGCCAAAGAGCGGCTGTCCCGCCCCGGGGGCTGGCATGCACCCACACACACCCACCCACACACACACCCACACACACACAAGCATGCACCCCATGTTTGACACACACCTCTGCTACAGTTCCCTTCTCCTCACCTCCACCCAAAAAAACTAGAACAGGAACTAAAACAACAAAACAAACACAAAAAAACCCCCAAAACAACCCCTCCCCCCCAAAAAAAAACAGTGACAAAAAGAAAACAAAATCACAGCTGGACCCTGTCCTACACGAGGTGTTAGAAAACAGGAGCCATGACAACACATTCATTTCCACTAAGGGTGTGTGAAGCAGATACTGCCCCTTCTGTAGCTCTTGATAAACCTAGTCACTGACAAACACTTGTGGAAAAACATATGCACCAGTCTCCTGCATAATACCAGCTGCAACTATAACAACAAGGTTATAACATAAACCTAAAATAAGATGATAACATGTAAATACTGGGTTATTTAGTCTACAGTACAGTAATCTGGATAAAAATGACAAGGGATAGCCTAATTTCCTTTCCCCAAACAACTTTTACTTTCCTACGTTGGATCGACCTTCAATGCAAATCTTAACCTCCTGAGGAATAAAAGAAGGCTTGGGAAGAGTCAAAGGTGGCTCCTCTTCTGATTTCTCTAGTTTTCGTGTTTCGGGGGCTGACCACCTCCTCTTCCTCGTTGCTGGGGGCTTGCTGGGTTCTGTTTTGGTGAGCAAAGGTGCTGCAGGCAATCCTATTTTGTCCGGAAACTTCAGTTCACCGTTTTCAGCTAACATCTGTGCGCTTCCCTGATTAATCCCATTTTCCTGCTCCGCATACCTGTGTCTACTTCCACCTAGACTGTCATTCTTTGAATGCTTCAGCAAGATACTAGCTGAGTCCATGGGCTGGCCCTTTTTAATAGAGCCGTTCTTCAGGTTCTTGAGTGTGAGCGATATGCAGACGTCCCCCACTGAGAGTTTGGAGCATGGCAAATCAAAGAGCTGGCTGGTTCTTTCAGGGCAGCAGGATGACCAGCCTTGTCCAAATACAAAAAAAGGGTATTCTACCAAGACTTCCACGCTGACCTGCAGAAAGAGAGGGGACAACACAGGGAGACAGAGGGAGAGAGAGGGGAGAGCATGAGATCACTCCATGAGCCCTCACACATGTGCAGTGCCTGCCATAGGGTACGGAGGGATAAAGCTGGAATTGCAAAAGTGATGTTCAGTTTCTGCAAAATCAGAATATTGGTCACCAGACCTCACACCAGCCCTTGTCACCCAGCTGTTAATACTTTCTCTGAGCTCAGTGTTTCATAGCACAAACCTCAGCAGGAATCAAGCTTTACCTTTACCCAGCCACTCAGGCATAAGAGTTAGAACAGCTCTGGTGTCCAGCAAGCTGTTTCCCACCATCTCCTTGTGGTACCTAGGACCTGTAATTAAAATCTAAAGACTTTCCAACCAGAGGATGGTTCAAGGGAAGCTCTCAGTTCTGACACGATTTCCTAAATGATCACAGGAATGTCATCCTGACCTCTGTCCAAACAAGCCTTCACTGAGCAGCTTGAAAGGGTGAAGGCACTCTGCCAGGGGAAGGCCATGAGCACATGCAGAGTTGTAGCCGTAAGAGCAGCAAGTGAGAGCCTGCCTTCCCCCAGCAGTCTGGTACCAGTCCAGTTTTTTCCCTTTTCACACCCAGTCCTCCACTCTGCTGCAGAGTTTACCTCCTGCACTTCCTCAGGGAGGCAGTCATCCCTCCTTCTTCTGCAGTTCCTGTACCCTGTCTCGTTTTCTGTACCATGTCCCCTTTCCCCCTGCTTCACCCCACTTTCAAGACATATCTGGTCAGGAATCCAGATCTAAGCACCTTATAGGCAACTGCCATAGACAGAACAGACCAATAACAGGTGCCCCCTGCTCCCCGACTTTGCAAATGCTGGGCCTTGAGGTCCCAACATGATAAAAACATCTGATAAAACAACATGATTAAAACACATGATAAAATACCCACTTATCTTTGAATGCAGCAGCAGTCCAGTATCACTGCAGGCTCAAACACTTGATGTGGACTCGTGATTCTCAACCTATGGGGCTGATTCCAGCCCCGCCCCCCCCACCAAACTACAAAGAGAGCAGGAAACTCTGACTAAAACTTCTTTAAAACTGGCTCTTTTTAGCTGCTGCCTGTCACACCAGTGAGGTCTGTGACCCTAATAGGCTGGCTTGTGCTGAAGACAGATCCCTCTGCTCTGCTCACATGGTCCTTAAGTCCTCTGGTGCCCTTCTCAGGCATGGGGGCAGGATCTCACCCGGATGGGTGGTAGGGGAAAAAGGGTAGGAGATCACCTGAATACATGTGCTCACCTTTTTTCTAAGCCATTCAGCAGCCACGGACTATACCAGCTGCCTGGAGAGTCTTACCTCTCCAGGACCAAGGACTCATAAGGAACATCACAGTAGGCTCGTGAAACCACCTCTCACTCTGGGAACAAGTAACACTGTCACACCCAGCATGGTTTTCCATCATTAAAAATGCATTTCAACACAGGAGCAGTTTGAGCTGCACACTGCACTGCAGTATTCCAACACATTTGTTCATAATATAATATTAAGTGTGAACCTTGGGATGAAGTTGCACGGTCTGTCTCACAGAAGAAGCTGGACTCTTTGGAAGCACTGCCCCCAGCAGCCTTGCCCCTTCCCTGCTAGCAATGCCACCCCCACAGCTGCTCTCCCTGCCAGCAGGGCCACTGGTGGTGCCCCTCACACCCCACCAGCTCCATAGCTTTCTTGGGCAAGAACACTTGCTCAGGAATGTCCGATAGCTCAGAGATAGAAGCTCCAGAACCGGGAAATCAATGATTCCCACTGGATGCTGATGGTGCTTCTGACTAAGTGCATGCCATGCACTAGCAGCCAACTGCTGGTTATGAAAGAGTTGATTCTGTTGGAAAAAAAACCTAATTGAGTCTATAAATATATACTATGTACTTCTGCAACTAGGCCAGCAGATAATGCTGCATCCATTATCCTGCCACTCCACCTGCCCAACACAGTAAGCCACTGTACAAGGAATTTCAAAAGGACCAGTTTAGAGGCGTAAGATACTACATCAATTTCTGTCATGCTAAACCTTTTCCAACCAGAACTATTTGCCAACAGTCAAATTACACACACTGCAATAGTGGGAAGGGTCCTGACTCGAGCCCTGGTTTAAGTTTTTAACTATGGGGAAAGTGGGGTGAGATAACCATGAAAGCCCCATCCCTTCATGCTGCTGGACAGAAACACTCCAGCACCAGGACTTGCAGAAACATTTGCCCAAAGCTTGGGATGCTATTCCATACACATGCATCTCAGTTTAACTGGAGTCTAATCAGGAGAAGTTCTCTGTATCCAGCATCTCCCATGGACTTACATGGAAACTGCTGTCTGCACAAGAACTTTAGGTTGTCTCCAGGCATGGATCATCTGGTGGATGCAGCTTTCTCCTTTATATTGCTTTTTCTCACCTCTTTCTTTCTTCATGCCTGCTGCATATTTTTTTTTTCTTTCTTTTTCTATGTTGCCACCCTTGTCAAAATCTATTTGTGTCTGTGGGAATCATACTTGCTTGTGTCCATCACCCTCACCAATACACAAGCTCCTCTTGATGTCAACAAACTTCCACCACATATTAGGATTTTTTTTTAATGTAGCATCCAAAACACTTGCCTGTAGGGTTGGTAAGTGAAGCATGCCAAAATTGGTGGTGGTGACCATGAATTAACACCAAAGACGGTGGAGTGCTGGAATCTCCACAATCTGGTCACACTGTTCATGTATACCACTATTGATTTGAAATGGGTTCCCTCATGGATTATCAAGCTGTTTTATTTGTCTGCTTCTAGATTCAGCTAAGAAGAGATTTGAGGCAACCATCCTCTAAAAACAATCGTTTAAGACCTTTGAAGTGTGAAAGTTCAGTAAAAACACCCCACAAAATTTTCTTCTGATCACTGCATTCAAACACAAACTCCCTTATTTTAAAAGCTTCCCCCCCTCCACCCCCCAGTATTTTGCCATGATTATTATAGGAGAGAAGGAAATTTGGAACTTTTCTACCTACTAGTAAGAGGATAAAGTAAGAAACAAACATGTTGGTTCCTCTCAAAGCTTACTGAGGCTCTACTGCAAGCTACATTTATATTTCTATTTGTTAACACTGACTAGTAAAACCACGCAAAACTCTTCAGTGCAGCCACTGAAATCTGCAACTTTCTATGACTCTTTGTAATTTTTATTTCTCATCCAAACTCAGTAGGCAAGACAGGCTTAAGACAGCTTAAGAAGCCCCAGCTGGAGCTGGAATGCAGATACTAGGGGCTGGCAGATCTGATGCCCAGGAAACACCCTTCCCACCATTTAGAAACACAATAACTTTGGTCTTGGGCCTCACTGCTGCAACCAAAATAACAAGCATGAAAGCAAAAGGTGCCTAATGAAAGTGGTTCATGAGAACAATATTTTAATAAATGTAAACATACATTTTCCAATTAAGTGTTTTTTCTCCATAATGCTATTAAGATGTGATGAAACTAGGAGTGGCAGGTTGGAAACAAAGAGAAGAAAGCAGTTCTGGAAACAATGTGTAATTAAGCAGCAGCACTCTCCACTGAAGGCCTTGCTGTGGGTGCTGAAAGGCTCCTCGGGCCCAAATAACAGCTGGGTAGACTCACAGAATAGAAGCTCTCCTTCGCACAGAGAGAAGCCTATGCAGTGCCATGCTCCCACACAACCTCCCCTGTTCAGAAACTTCAGGACTTTTAATGTTCTCCCCGCACTCCGATGCCTTCACAAGACTGGATTTCCTGTAAGAGATTTCTGGGGCTGTAAGGCAGCACCGTGTGCCACGGAACCACTCCCCAGAACATGGTCTGACTGGGCACCCCCCCAGGGCTGCATCTACCCCAGTTCAGTCCACTGTTACTACAGAAAAGGCAGGCAGGGCTGGAACATCAGGGGCTGCTGCTATCTGCAGTCACGCAATCCCGTAATTTCTCAAGAGAAGCCGCCAGCAGACCACAGGCTGCCGCCTTTATCACATGAGCTGTGTCATCTGCTGCATTCCCAGAACGCAGTAACGTGAGGACAGACCACAGTCACCCATCACTTGGGAGACAAAAGGACTTACTGTCCTGTGACCAGGGGACACAGAGATCACATGAGGGGAAGGCTGGGGGAGATCTCCATCTGCAGCAGTGAACTGAGTCAACATCTCTTTCTGTGTCTGTTACAGTGACAAAGATAATGAAAAGGGAAGCTCAAAGAAAAAGTAACCATTTGTACATGCACTGAAAGATGTAAGGGGAAAATTAAACTAGATCATGGTTTAAAATCATATGCACTAAACTAAACTAGTTCCGGCTACTAACTGGATGCTCTAATGGGACTTTCCATTACTTCAGTGGTTATGATTCCAGTTTGGTATTGTTGGTGTTTTTTTAAAAAAAATAAGGAAAATTAAGAACTGTATGGTCATCTTTTCCATTTAATCTATACTTTAGAAATTATTAGGAACTGAAATGTAGCATTTCAGAGAATTTATTTTGCATAGCCTGTGGGCTTTGACCTTAATATCAAGGGAGGTGAATAACTGGCTTTTGTGTTCTCCCAGCAGCAAAAGGACGGACAGGTAATAATGATGAAATTCTTATTAAAAAAATATTATGTGGAATTCCAAAGAGATGTAGATCCATGGGTCTTGTCTTCCAGGCACCTTGAATGCAGAAGAGTAGCAGCTGGACTTTGGGTTTGGCCCAGTTGATGCTTACATGACTTCTTAATCCAGAGCTTGGATGTTGTGAAACGGAAACCTAGCATCCCTCCAGGGGTAAAGACAGCTAGTTCAGTTATTTCAGTTATTAAGGCCTTCAGCTGAGTTGATTTTCCTCTAAGTTTCCATACCTGGAAGAGGGATGGATTTTCCAGGTGACTGGAGGACTGGGAAAGGAGGGAAGATGACCCCTTTCTGCCCAAGTGCTGTTCTGGGGAGGGCCAACTGTTGGCTTGCAGTGACACTACACAGCAGTAGCTGCATGATCCCTCCCTGTTTACTTTACAGTGGTTTATGCTCAGCTGAAAATAACCCCCTACCTCTGTGCCTCAACTGGTGAGAAAATTAGCTGATGTTTGCACAGAGCCTGAAAATACAGATTCATCAATATTATAATGACTTCCCAGAGATCCCTGGGAGGAGTAAGTAAGTGAGCCAAAGCTAATGATAACAACACTATTTTTGTATGGCACTTACTCTTTACAAGTTACACTCCCTTGGTAATACCACTCGAAAAGCTCTCTCCTCGCAGAAGCACGTATGCAAGTGAAACTCAATTGTAATGAAACACTTTGTGGAGCTGCACTACACACACAACTCTATCCCCCTGCACTCCAGAGTCAAGAGCTCTATTTCAGCGTGGCAGCACCACAGTGCCAGTGCTCAGAGCAGCGTGACCAAGTACTGATCTTTCGGCGAGAAGACTAAGCCTCTTCACACGGGCAATTTTCTAAGGAGTAATGACTGGTGCACACCTGCAAATACAGCTGAATACTTCCAGAGCTCCATGGCAGGCTAAGGGTGAGGTCACAGAGATTTCAAGCATATAGAAATGCACACTCTCTCTCTCTCTCTCTCTCTCTCTCTCTCTCTCTTTCTCTCCCCCTGCCCCAAGATGAAGAAAAACCGGCAGTCGTCCCTGCTATGCAGGGACACAGCTGATCTGGGAAGAGACCCAAGTCCTGAAATCTGCAGGAAACCTAAATTAAACCCCTGTTTCTAATCATATCTCTGTGTGACTCGCCCTCCATTCTGGAAGCATCCCCGGTGGGAAACACAGCTGGGGAGTATTTTGGCTGCGATGATGTCAGCCTGCTCCCGATAGGCTTCTCTGTAAGGTGACACTTTGCTGGGTAAGACCTGTGTGCCAGGCCCTGGATTTGTGCAGCCTCGGACTCGCTCCCTTTCTGCCAGAGGATGGCACTCCACGCCCTGCAAAAGCGCAGCTCTTCTCAGGACTGCAGCCCACTGCCTGCCTTGACAGTGCTGTGACCGAGACATGACACGAACGCTACCTGCTCATTTGTACCTCTTCTGCTGTGCAGACACCGATGGCCAGGCTGCAGGCAGAGAAATGTGAGCAAGATGAAAATTGCAGAGCGGAGATTGCTAGTTTTGAAATCTCATTATTCAAGGCACCACAGCAAATTATAGTAACTGGTCATGATCCAAGGACAGTTCCTCTAACCGTGACACCTGAGATGTGCCAAAATACAATTAAGCAGTGGGGGGAAAAAAAATCGAGTCTCTACACTGAAAGCACCAGAGGCTCGACTTCAATCAGCTGTGCCGATGCAGGCACCTACGTGAATGAATCCACACAGGGAATCTTCCTGTTTGACTTGAAAAGGAGGACATGCCACATGTAGTGATTTACCGTGTATATACACTTGGGGAAGGACAGGCCACAAGATGCTGAGACTGTAAAAAATTTCTGTGTGATCCACTCCTCAGTACCATCACCATCTGCTTTTTGCCTTCAAACCATCAGCCTGGGGTGTATTACTACCTGTGTCTGTGTCCAGTTCCTCTCATTCTCCCTCTCTCTCACTCTGCTTTTCCAGCACTGAGGCTGCAGCATCAGAGCTGCAGATGGAGTTCACAGCACTCGCACCACAACAAAAAGATTTGCAACAGGATTATCTAAACCGAGTACCTCCAGGGAGCCAAATGCTACACTTTACAGCATCAACCAACAGAATCTAAATTGCTCAGAAAGAAAATGGACAGCATCAGGGTAATGCTTTAAAATCAATATGCACTCGTTCTCAACCTAAAAACACCTTTGGAAAGTTACAGGTTTTTCTTCCTGCTTTTCAAACAGAGAAACAAATGCCAGAAGCACAGCCTACCCAGACACCTAGACGGTTTTTTCTTCCAAATTGCACTTGACCACAGAGTTTACATGAGCCATGCAATGTTAAAACCACCTTCTAGTGAAGCCTCAGTAAAACTCTGTAGTGCATTTCAGTAACTTATGTGCATGAGAACCATTCCCAGGCAGCTCCAAGTTTTCAAGCCATGGAAATTCACTGCCTTGTGCCCTACCTATCTTTTTAGAGTAGGTTTTGATCTGATTCTATCACGACCTTTCTGGTGTGAATAGAAAAAATCACCTATCAAAATGAAAAATGTAACCCTTCATACCCCTTATACTATCTGGTATTTTAATCAAAACCCACGAAAATCATGTAAGTCTTCCTGTGAGTTCTCCAGCTATAAAAGAGACCTGTATTATATCCAAGACTCTACATTTATCACCAGTGTGACCTGATGGCTCCCCCAGCTCAGCCAGGGGGATGATTTGTGGTCTACAGTTTGGATGAAGAACCATCTACACATGGATGAAGAATCCGAGTGGATCCAAAGCAAGTGAGCTGTGATGTGGCCTGGGGGGCCACAGCATGAGTCCCAGTCCAACCCCCCCAGCCCATCACGCGTTGCCATTACCTGTGCTCGATGCTCCCCCACCGCAAACTGTATGATGGCGATGCCTGGGCTATGGCTGTCTTCGATCCTCTCCACAGTGCTGGAGTCTATTTTCAGGTCGTTGCTAATTTCCGCGCTCTGTATGAAGTCTTCTGTTTTCAAGTCCTCTACTTTCTTCAGCTCCCCGTTGGCCAGCTGGATGATCGACCCCTTCATGAAGTAAGGGGGCAGCGTGGGGGGCGCGGCGGCGGGGGAGGCAATGGACTGCACCACGGGCAGGTGGATCTGCGCCTGCACCATGGTGGCCTGGTAGGCAGGCTGGGTGGTGAGGGGCTCCGCGCTGAAGTTCTCGCTCTTGGGGACGGCGGTGGTGACGAACGTGTGAGGCACTGCTGCAAACTGAGGAGACGACGTGACGATCGCAGGCGTGACTCCCGACGGCTCGACGTCCGCGCTGCCGACCGGTATCAGCAGGGACTGGGTGCCCGGGATCACCAGGTGCTGCGGCAGGCTGCTGGGGTAGCCGATGGCTTGCTGCTGGCCGCTCAGGTAGCCGATCACCGGCGGCTGGGTCCCGGTGTAGAAAGCTGTCGCCGGCAGCCCCACAGGGAGCTGCTCGGAGGCGCTGTGGGTGGTCTGAATGACGGTGTGAGGGGACAGCGTGGCCACCGCCTTCACCCCCTCGTGGCCCAGAGCCTGCTGCGGAGACAAGGCATAGGACCGGTGGGTCGGCTTTCCTAAGTGCAAACTTCCCTTGTCGTTGAGGGCTGAAGGAGAGGTCTCACGGTTGGTGGCCTGCTGCACCTCCATGTCTGCCGTGGGCGTGCTGCTGTTGGGGACCACCATGACAGAGGCTCGGACACCTGAGGAATCCCGCACGCCGTACTCGGCGGGGCTCGAGTGGACCACCACGTGCCTGGTCTCATAATGATGGGGAGCTGGTTTATTGCCTGCTTTGACTAGACCCATGTCGGCAGAAGGCGAAATGCCGTACCTCCGGCTCTTCTCTATCTCGCCATTCAGTACCTCCTTGGCCTGCATCGCCTGCAGCCGGCTGCTCTCGGGTTTCTTGGGGGGATCCCTGGTGACAAAGTGGCCCCCCGAGTCAGTGTACTGCACCACCACTTGGGACGAAGGGCCGAGGGTGAGGGTGTGCGGGATCACTGTCTGATGTGGGTGAAGGGGGACAGGGATGGTTGGAGGAGAGACATTTCTGACAGTGCTCTGGGAAGAGCTGGAAATGTGGACGTACTGGTTCTGCTGGGTGGGTGGAGGAGACCCAGCAGCAATCAGTCCAGGCGTCCTGACCAGGTGCGGCTCAACTTTGTGCCCCTGCTGGCTTAAGCCGCTCATGCTGGCCAGCAAAGTGGAATAAGCCTCCAGCTGGGAGCGCTGGGATGGAGTGGTCGCAACGGCTGTGGCCGCCGCCACGGCGCCAGTCGCAGAATTGGCCGTTGGGGAGATCAGCTGCGAGGGGATGAACCCGGTGTACGATCCACTGTACTGGGGCCCGACGAACTGGAAGGTGTGCTGCAGGTGAGTGTACTGCACGGGGGAAACGGGGGTCCCTGACTGGGAGAGGGCGGGCGAGTACACCGTGGGAAGAGTGGTAGAGGCTGGAACGGACCTGGGCGCACTCGGCGGGGAATAGTCCAGCCCTGCAGACAGTGACTTGTGCAAACCCTGCTGCAAGCCTGCCTCCACCGAGGAGGTGCCCCCGGGCCGGTGCCGGCCCCCCAGGCTGCCCTGGCCACTGGGTGTGCTGGGGAGCCATGCCAGGTTATCTGCACGGTGGTTTTCGTTTGGCAGGACCGGCTTCACCTCCGAAGGCAGGCTGGTGGCAGGGATTTCTCGCTTCTTAGGCGGCAGGCATTCATTGCTCCGCTCTTGGTTGGATTTCATCTTTCGCCGTCCCCCCTCCACTGTGCTTGCTTCACTGTCTGGCTGGCTCTGATTTCAGTCTGATAAATGGAAAGTCACATTTGATTTCTGCAGGGGATCCAGTGACTTCATGAGGAATCATCTCCCTGTGAGCACGATCCTCCGACAGCTCCTCTGGATTCTGCAACGAAAGGGTGGGCAAGGGAGACGGGAGTTATATCGTCAGCAATGAGAAATGAAAACAAATAAGCAGACACCCTAAATCAGCAAACAGGAAAAAGACCTCTGGAAAAAAAAATATAAATGGTCAGGCATTGCCACTCTCACGTCAAGGAACAGTTGACAGCTAGCTATGCTGTAAACAGCAGAAAAATCCTGGGCATGTCTGCTAATACATCAGGAAAACATTTAAAAATTTAGGCGTATCAGAAACAACCTGGCCATAACTTGGCACATTTAGCAGCAGTCATTCATTTATTTCCCAAGGCCCATTCTCCTCCCGCTACGAAATCCCTCCATGTCTCTATGGTGCCTGTTTCGTTTTTCCAGCCTCTTCTTCCCCTGCAGTGATGACACTGCCTTCACCCTAACATGCCCTAAAAAAGCATGGGAGCACAGCAGGGAGCCCTGAGGAACAGGCACACATAAAATATTGTTAGCAACAAGTCACCGTGAGTGGTACAGAAGGATGGTGGTGGGTCACTCCTAAACCCCTGAACCCCAGAGACACTGGCAGGGCGACAACTTCACGTGACACCACGCAGGGCTGTGGAGGCAGCAGCTGCCTCCTGTCCCCGCTCCACACCACAGCTCATTACAGGGACACGTGTGCTTCATCTCCCAGTCTGGCAATGAACCTCAGCTACGGGAGCTATTTACAGCAGCAGCCCAGAGCCAGGGATGGATCTGAGCCAGGTTTTTGATATCTGGTGGGGGTTTTTTGACCCAGTGCTTTGAACTAACTCCCTCTGCTACTGATGCCTCACATTCAGGTGTCCATGCAGGACTCTGCTGGGAGGAGCTCTCAGCCACATGCAGGTAGGCCAAAGCAGGTGCTGGCACCATATCAGATCTCTGGCAGGATCCAACCCCACTGTTTCTTAGCCACTGCTGCACCAGAAAGGCTGTGGGTACCACACTCACAGCCATGGCCACAGGTCCAAACACTGAGCAAACTACTCAGCCTTGGGGACGCCTGCCCAGATCTGCTCAGAAAACCATGTTTGAGCTTCCTGATCCAAATTACGAGCCCCCACCACTGCAAAAACTCACAGTTTTATATTGGGCTGATTTTGCTACTGGAGAAAGTAAGTTGCTTTTCTCTGCATCACCTATTTCATCCAAAGGCAACAAAGCCTTCCTAAGTCTTCTATTACCTTTTAAAGAAAATATTGTAACTAAAACACATTTACTCTCTTCCTGAAACCTACCTTGCACTGAGTAATCAACCCTTGTGGAGAGTGAAACCCTTCCTCAGCCCCTGTCCAGCCACTACCTGTCATCTGCATTTCTGGCTGTTTTGAAAGTTATGCAAGAATGGGTGATGAGAATGAGAAACCATGCACCTTGCATGAACAGCATGAACTGCATGAACAGCAGCTCAACAAAAAAAGCATGCATTACATGTAAGAAGAATAGAGAGAAAGAATTGAGTGGATGTGAAAGAAGATGGAAATAGGATATAGCCCACTTTAAAGGGAATGCTGAGCAGCAGTAATGATACTTATCTTATGGCAAGTAATATTCCTTTGGGGGATTTCTTTCCCTGCTGCCTCACTTCTAATGAACAATAAGCCTGATGTTTATATGTGTTTGAAGTACTTTGAAGACACACTAGACTCAGATTAAACCTATCTTTAAAAGCACTCTTTACGTTTATGGTCCTCCAAGCTGCTTTAAGCCTGCAGGAAAAGTCCAAACCTACTAAAGGTTTGATATAATCAGTCTTAAGTTAATTATTCCATTCTTTAAATATTGATAAACAGTAATGAAACACCAATAGCTAGAGCTGGGGGAGAGGGAGTAAAGCACTGCTTCAGGGTAGATTCCCTGGCTTTCAGGAAATAGGGAGAATGAAAGAACTCAGGGCAGCTTCAGATGGCCCGATGACACCCAGAGTGCAGCAGCCCAGGCACTATCCTGACCTGCCCTGGTCTGTCAGCGCCATCACCTCAGCACCACGACTGCGGCGACGAGAGCAGCCAGGAGACAGGGTCCCTGCTAGATCAGCACGGGCCTTCCCCTCCTCCTAACAGTTGCTCAGCGTGTCTTGGCAACAGCTAAAATTATTATATTACACATGACTTACAGATTTTTCTTTTTAAGTTCGACTAAAAATAAAACTGCCGAGCTCACATTTGCGCAGTCATCCTTGGTTAACTTTAGCTCTCTGTAGCCTTCTGCCCCGGGCAGTCAGCTTGGGTAGGTAAGTCAGCAGATCCTGGCCCAGGCAGCTGCCCAGGGGAGACGTCCTGAGCATGGGGTGCTCTTCCTGCTCCCCTTTCCACAAGGAGCTTGTGCTGGGCTTGTATCATCCTCCAATCTCTTCTGGAACATGAGCTGCAAATCCAGAATTGAAATACACTCCCACAGGGAGGCAGAGGGCTGGCTTCTCTGCCTGCAACAGAGCAGGGACCTTGTACATGGGATTGAATAGGGACAGGCTCTTTTGCTGTGATGGGTAAACCAGGCTCCCAAAACCTGTGGTTCCAAAAGTTTGAGGCATCTGCATTTGTTCTTCATCTAAAGTAGTATACTGTGAAGTTCTGCGAAATGGGGTGAAGTTTCATTATGCAGGAGCTGAAGCAAAGATTTTATTCTTCTAAATAGCACTGAACCAGTGAGGTTTGGGTGGCCTCCAATGTCAAAGCTAACATCCTTCAAAAATACCAAATACTCTTTTGGGTTGTGCAGTTTAGTTTTTGTATAAATCCTTCAGATGGCTGACTTCATCTTTACCAATAACAAAAGGGCTCCCCAAAATCTTCTGGAGAGCACAGGAGGAATGAATACATTTAATGGAGACAAGGGGATGAGACAGCATAGAGCAGTGAATACTGCCCCACTTTTCCAAGCCCAAGCACTTCACAGTGAGACTTTGAACTCTTAACAGACATAGGATTGGATTTGCAAAAAATGCAAATATGCAGCATTAAACAGCCTACTTCTACTTCAAGACCTAAAAGACTTTGCAGCATAATTCAAGTTCCAGCAACAGCAGAGATAAGACAGGACTGATTTTGCTTGAGAAGCAATGAAAGGGAGACAACCCAAACAAGAATGTCTCAAAGGCAAGAGGTACAAGACCTGGTTAAACAGTTTTTTACTGGCTGTCCTAGAAAGATGAATGCCTGCCTTCTGTGGTGTGCCGCAGGGTTTGTTATTTGGATGCTCCTTTTTTTTTTTTTTGGGCTCAAGACATTTTTCTGACTCTGGAGCTTTCCTTTAACTTTGGAGCTGTCAGTCACGATTTGTAAGATATGCAAACGAGTAGGAAACACCAGGTGATTTTTTTGCTCCTGTGTGTGTCACGAGTGCGTGCGTGCGTGCAGGCATGTGTAATTATGGCTGGGAAGGTAAAAGGGACAAAGAGATCAGGGAGAGCAGCTGGACTTTGGTATCTCTGGCAGTGAGTACACATGAAACATTGCTAAACTGTCTGGACAGCCAGTGTCCGCTGGCAGTCTGCCCACACACAAATTCCTGGAAAGGCTTAAGGCAGAAAAATAATCACTTGGAGGAGTCACCATCTGGGCTTGCTCTGGTCCCAGAGGGATTGCTCACTGCAGCTTGGGATGTGCATTTTCATGCAAAATTCCAGTGTCTCTTTGCAAAGTACTTTAAATCTCACCGTGTTTCTCAAAACAGCATTTTTCTACTTATTTCATCTAATAGATTTAAAGCACAGGAGTGGATATTGGGTTATAGCCTCAGACGCTGACCTCCTTTATTTTTCTGGAGTTCACTGCAGCAAAGGTAAAACCAGCAACACAAGCGTCCAAACACAGCGATATGCTGTGTCCCACCACTCAGGACTGAGTCCTGGGGTGCAGGGAAGTTGGGGCCAGAACCACAAACCACAGCAGCACCTGGCCATGCAAATGGTGGCACTTTCACTGCCCTGAGAAATCAAGCACCTTCTCTGTTCCATGGTGCAGCTATCATCCTTTTTTGGGTCTCTAAACCTCCTACAAAAATCTGGTCCCTCATCCTCCTCTGGTCCTTGACCTTTCTGCAGCTGCCAGCAAGCTCACACCATCACGTGGAACCAGAAGGAAGGACCGGTGCAAGAAGCACCCAAGGGGGGCATCGTCAGCTTCCAACTTCAGGGATATTCAATTAAACCAGTCACTTATTGTCAAAAGGCTCCTTTGATCGCAAATCCTAAAAACACACGGAGTACTCTGACTTCTCAGCTTCCGCTTTCCAGGTATGGCCAGCAGACTCTCACATTTGTCGGTGCACTAGAAAAACTGCGTCTCTCCTCCATCGGACACCGCTGCCCTGCCTGGCACCTAAATGTGAATGCAACATTCGCAGAGCGGAGCCTGATGCGTGGTTCTTTATGTCTGGGGTGTTACCGGGCAGATGCAGCAGCGCAGTCTGATGCTCCCGCCTCAAATCACCCGCCCGTCCTATCACGAGTGAGTCATTTCGGCAGCGCTGGAAATGAGTGAGAAGGGAGGCATTTCGTCCCACCTCTCCCCTCCCCTCCAAGGAGGCTGGCATCTTGCGGGCTCACATTCAGAGAGACGAAAAGACAGACACACTGCAGAGGGCTCCGCAGCTGCGTTCTGGCTCTCAGATCTGTACGCCAGCTTTCTCCCCCCGGCTCTCCAGCCTGCCCGCTGCCAGCTACATATTCATGGTTGTAACTGCTACAGATTCCATTAGCCCTGCCATGTGCAGCTCAGCGCACGCCAACAATAGCTATAGGAGCTTCTTGTCCAACCCCACCGATTTCACAGCTCCCTGGCAGAATTCCCGAGAGGGCCAACTGCAGAGATCCATTAATAAGGAACATGAAGACCTCTAATAAAATTTGAAATTCTCCTCCCAAAATGAAAGGACTTCTGATCAACACCGCATCCGCAAGACAGATTGTCCAGTGCAGTGTTAGTTCTTATTATACTTCTGGGAATCTGCCACTGCAAATTGCTACAGGTTTCGGCACAGTGAGCA